GTGTGTAAAAACAGTGTCCTTCCAAAAAGTAAAATTTATTAAAATGAGAAGTTTGGTTTTTTTTTTTACGCACTGACTTTTAACAGACAGTGTGACTGTTCTTGGTACTACAGTTAATTCAGTTAAATAACAATAACACACAGGTAGAAAAACAAGCTTCACATGTGTATTTTATATGTTTTTTTTAAGTGGGTGGTTGTTACCAAATCAGAAGTGGTAGTGCTAGAACACAGTCTGTTGGCAAACAAAACCTTATTTTGTGAAACAACAAAACACTTCTATTTCTCCTGCAACTTCATTAGCAAATACTTTCAACAATTAGAGAAATTGAAAAAAAAACCACCCCAACTTACTGTTCCATAATTTAACTTGAGAACAGTGTACTACTCTGAGCTTCCTACTGAATTATAATTTTAAGGATGCTTTTATGAATGTCTAAAAACCAGAATATTCATATCCAAAAGCTATGTGGATAACCCAAGAATACCTCTCATAAACTTATGACTCTCAATATTTTTTTGTACAGCTGTCAAACTGTATTTCTCACATACAACAGAAAGCACCGTGCAACATTAAAAAGCAAGTTAAAAAAAAAATAGAAAATATTAAGACCATTTCACCTTCAGAGTTTCTATTTTTCAGAGAACTTTGAAAGGTTCCTTTATTATGATACAGAAACCACATGACATTTGATCTCAACACAAACCTGTCTGCAGCAGCCACCTCATCAAACACAGTTGAAGGTTATTCAGCATTTTACACTGGTGAACTCTCAGAAGTTGGGACTCTAAGGTGGGCAATCCCTCTTAGTTCTCGTCACAGCAATAAAGATTTCAAACTGTGAGAAATTCACAAGCTATAGGAGCTCACATCTTATAATCCTATATTAGCAATGGATTCTAAAGCACTTTATTGCTTGACTTTGAGTTTAGCTGCTAAATTACTGGGGGTGAACACAAAAGGCTCTGGACGTGGAAAGGTTTGTTTCTGAATTTTTCTACACTGAAAACATAGAGTAACTTCTGCACTTCAGTGGATTCAAAACATCAGAACATTAATATTGTAGGAAATGAATTTTTTAAGGTACTGGATGAAATAATGAAAATACCTTGCTAAACAGAACTGCAGGCTCTGAGGACAGGTTCTGTGGCAAGACTTATTCATACTGACTTTTCATTAGTCAATTAATTTCCCTTGGTACTTGCTGACTAATATAGTTGTTAGTCCTTACCAGTAATACAGCTTCAAGTTCAAAATAAAGGATGGCTTTAACAAGTGTTACACTTTCTCCCAGTGAAAATAATAACCTACTGAAAAAAAATTAAGTGGGAAGAACAGGAATAGAATTACAAACATTATTTAGTATTTTGAGGTAAAGATATTCTTGGACTTACCAGTGATTTCTAGTAATTAAAGAAAAAAATACAATAGGAAAATATTTAAAATTTTAATTTAGGGCTTTAGCAGAATAAGCCAGTGACATTAAAGTCCTCTAAGTCACACAACAGCACAATAATTCTTTTGCTAAATTTAGATATTAAAACGCACAAATTAATAACACAAGAAGAAGAGTTCTCTCTTGCTTTTATAATATTCCTTAAATTTGACAATTGTAACAACAAATGAAATCCCTCTTCAATCTGCCCTCCTCGATCAATGCTAGATTTTAAAAATGGAAGTAATTTTCCCTTTTCAAATGTACCATATGATTTCACAGGCACAATGCATTTCCAAGAAGCAGTAGGAAGACTTGAAAAATAACCTTCCATCAACTATTTTAATCATACTCGTGAGTAGCTCAATATTTATTACCTGACAGACAATGTAAGATAAGAGTATGTTCAATCGGTAGAAAATATCAATCAAGTAAAAACTTGTCACACATCATCTGAATAAAATTCATAATTGGCTAAGTTTTTTTTTTTTTGTGCCATTTGCTTTAAATCCTCTCCCAGAATAACGTACTCCTATTTTTTGCGGTTGAGAAAAGAGAATTTTCTTTTCTCTTCACGTGCTGGTTGCACCGAAAGTTTCATCAATAAAACACACAAAAAAAATCTGTGTGCTTTAGTGGACTACGGTTTCTTTAAATTACTCTGGAAAAAAATCTGCACATAAACATTTTTTGTTTTGGTTTGTTTTTTTTTTCAAATTTGTGTATTTTACCAAAATACAGCCTTACAGAAAAACTGTGAGGACATTCAGTGTCCCACCAAGCTGGATGAATGAGCACCATCTTTGGATAAATGCAATTCCAAGTTATTAAATCCAAGACAATGAATTGCTGGAATAATGAAAGAGCCACATTGGTGGATGTGTATCACAGAGGGAAAAACATCAAGAACAAAATCACTGTTTAATGTCCAGTAGTCACCAAAGAGTCAAACCAGACATTAGAACGTAGGAAAAGTAAACAAACAATAATGGCATTACTGAATCATCTTACTGAAACAAGGCAAAGTGACTGTTTAAAAACAGATTAAGGAGGTAACGTGAGAAAAATTACAAATCAGAATACAAAAAATGTAAAATAGGGAGGATCATTTTAATGTCCTGTCAGTCAAGAACAAAGATATAATATATGAAAAGTAAAGGTAAAATTAAACTTCCTGAAAAAAAGGAAGAGACTGGGTAGATTTAAATTGTGGAGCTCCCTGACCACATGACTACATGCAAATATTTGGAAAAATACAGAAAAGAAAACAATCTCAAACTAAATATATATATATATATATTATTAATATAGTGCATATAAAAAATGTCACTACTCTGGGTTGAAAAGACACTGCCCCTGTTGAAAAATCAGTACCACCAATTGTAAGTTTTATTTCCTCTTCACTGGACTAACTAGGACTGGGGGCTGGCAGAGATAAGATATGGTAGGAGTCACTACCAAAAATCTACTTTTTCATGACCAAGCAGGTAAAAATGAAACTATTTTTCTGTCTATGTCATGCAGGCAAAACTTGGATTAAATGTGATTCTGAGCTTCTATGTCCTTCATGGAAATCACACACGTGAAGAATTTACTTGTGGACCACCCAGTTAATTCAGTCAGGAGCCAAAAGTTACCGCAGGAAATACAGCAAAAAAAAAGTGGGATTTACTGCATCTTCAGCAAAATGATGTGCTTCAGTGTGCTGACTTTAAGACTCAACAGAGAAAGCATATGCTGGAACACACCCCCATCAAATTAAATGCATATACAGAGATGCACTTGGGAAGGGAAAAAAAAAATAAATAAAAAAATCCCTCTCTCTTATTCTCTTGGAAAGAAAAGATATTTCCTTCACTTGTTTTTGGTGGTTTTTTTTTTTTTTTTAATCCAGCAAGAAACCCTCAGCAACAGAACGGCGAGGAGCTGGGCTGTGAGAATGTGAGCAGCTGCTGTCATTATAACCAAAGGGCTGTCTACGGCTCGAGCCTGAGAGACCACATGTTCGGCTGTCCTCTCATCTCGCCATCCTCACCAATTAACCACTAACGTGGAGGGCTGGACACATGCTCTCAGGGGCTCTTTAACAGGCTTCTTGGAGAGTGGAACAACTACACAGCAGGGCTCTGGGAACTGAGTAATGTGGGGTGGAAGGAACCCTCACGGCAGCTTTGCTCCTCCTAATGACGGTTTTCTCCGCAGTGTGGTGGCTCAAAGGGGATACACCAAGTTCCAGGATTTAAAATAAAAAAAAAAATAATGCTAAGCAAAGGTTCTGTAAATAATCTTAATAACCTTTCTTTTTTTTTTTTTAATTTGGAATATTCTAGGTTTTATTAAAATAAAAAAAAAATCAGTTATTAATAAAGCAATGTGTAATTTCTAATTTCGCTCCTAACTCCCTGGGAATTGGTTTACACGGACTTTGCAAACAGGAAGCAAAAATCAACTTTCCAGGTAAGTTTGAAACGAACAAAAAAACTTCACTCTGCGGTTTGTTTCTTAGAGACACTTCTGGATTTCTCTAAAATACGAACATACCTGTTACTGAAATGGCAGATAATGAAGAGCACAGTGAATGAGATGCATGTCCCAATTAGGGAGAGGCAATTCCAATGGGCAAAATCTAGGATGGTTCTTTTACACTCACAAATTCTGTTCACTGCATTAAATTTAACTGTCACTGTTTTATATTTAAATATAAGGAGGTGGAGGTATGCACTGCAAGAGGAATATTCATACATTTTCACTGCAGTGGTAAAACCAGAAAACAGAGTTTCTTCATTTTTGAAGCAGTAAGTGCACAGGGTATCTGGATAAATAACATTTGCAGGTATTCAAACACCTTTAACAAAATCTAATACATGTGAGTCATGTACTTACCTAAAACAGGATTTAATCTGTTGATAAACTCACCTACTATGAAAACATTCTGCATAATATGAGGTTTTACCCAGCACTTTTTTACTATAATTAAATCAAATATCTAAAATTACAGGTTCTCTGTTCCTTGTGAACAATAATTTTGCTTTTCTAAGTTATGTTACCACTCGGGGAACAAAAGACTTACCCACATTTTTCCTTTTGCTAAAAAAATTTCCTTTCAGAAGGTACATTTAAGTCCCCACATACTCTCAAGGAAAGGTGCTGTGAGCTGCTTATGACTGTTGGGAAAATTCCTCTGACACTCTAACTGGTTTGCTCCTGGTCCCAGCACAAGGGGATATCAGAACTACAGAGTGAACCTGTACCTTTCAATTCCTGACTTTTTAAAAACAAGATCACACATCACCACAACAGGGGAAGACAGTGGAGTGAAAAGTCTTGTATTGAAACTCCAAACAGCATTCTGAAGGCACTGGAAAAAATAATTTAAAAAAAGGGAGGACTACCAGTATTTTCTTTCCCTTTTACAGTTTCTGAAATTCTGATAGTTTTAATTCCAACTTTGAACAGAAAGATTTTTAGAAATGCCCAAAACTGCATTTGTTTTCCTACCATAAACTTAGGAGTTCTGGTTGACTGCTGTGTCAGCTGTGAAATGCAGCAACAGCAGCGCTCCTACCTGGATGAGGTGAGCTGGAACTGTGACGATGCAGGCTGACAAAGATTTCCTGAGGAGGCCACGGAGAACGTACAGGAATTTTGTAAGGCTGTGAACGTCTTCAGGGGTATCACTGCAACAAACGTCATCGCCCCACAACGGGGAACCCAGGCCCTGAATTCCTATCCGCAAAACATTCTTTTGTTTTTTCTATTGGAAGAGGGGGAAAAAAAAAAAAGTAATTTGTTATTTTTTTAAATGTAAGGAGGAATACAGTTTCTAGAAAGCATATCCATAATAATAATTGCATAGTTTACATAATCATTGCCTAAGCTCAGTCCGTCTTGCAAAAATTACAAATGGAATGGCATTTTTTTCACTGACTGGATATCCTGCCAGTGTCAGACAAGGAAGTACAAATGTAAGAGACAGCACAGAAATACAGAAAATGCTAATTTGCATTTTTGTTAAACCAGCTAAATGCAAGTATATTCTGATACAAAACCCAGTAACACTGGGACTTTTGATATCCTTTCTCTCCTCTACCACTGCCTTAAAAAACATGCCAAAGAGTATTTTCTCCCAGTTCTAAACCAGTCTGCTGGAAGTGCCTGAGAGGAATCAAACACAACTATTTTCACCTTTCCTGTGTTCCTCTCCTAACCTGACTATTCTGAGTGTTTGCCTCAGTTTCACTTATTCTGCTGCCTCCAAAGGAACAAGGTCAGTGCCTCACCTCCCCAGTGCAGGGGCCTTTCACTATCTTAGAAATATCTAAGTATCTTCCACATCCTCCTTCCAGCTCATGAAGGAAGGTGCTGGAGAAACAGAGTCCGACGGGGACATCAGCAGATTGTCCCTTAAGGACCACACCTCTCTCAAAGCCCTTTCCATCAGTGTTTCTGGGGCTGCTTTAGTTACCTGCTGGGCACTGGAAGCTGTTGTGACACATCAAATCCTAACCAGCCCCTCGTGTTGGCTACCTAAAGCCTGCTGGCTGCCCTGCAGGGCACTGGCAGGAGAGCATCCACCAGAGGCACAGGGGCTAAGAGAAAGCTCCTTTTCTGAAGGGACAGATTATGAAGGCAGAGTTGTAATCTATTTATGCAAAGTAAAATGTTATCTCTTGTGATGGCAAATCTCATTTCTGCTTATCTGATGTGTGACCTTTCCTGGTGATCTTTGAGGAGGGTTTTAGGTTTATTTGCTATCAACAGCTGAGAGAGAGAGAGAGACAATAAACTCCCTTGTTGAAAGACTTCCTGTACAAGGTGATCAGAGAAACATTTCTAGAGTTCAGGGTTCATACTTAAAGGCCAGCTTTTTAAAATTACACACACACACATATATACATATAAAAATACTAGTTTAGATAAACAAAAGCTTTCTGGTAATTTTTACTCCAGAAAAGTGTAGGTATTGACTTCCAACAGCTGGAATAAACAGCAAGTAGCAAGCACAGAACACTGCACAGCTGCTCTGGCAATCCAGAGGAAAGGTTTTGACAAGACAAGAGGCTACTCTTCCAAACACTTCCACATCCATATTGGGCAGACAGAGCCTGAGTTGTGAGACTCAGTTTAATTCCACATGGCTCTGCATTTATCCAACTTGTCTGTCTTACCCAGCGAGCTGATCTGCCAATTCACTCACAACCTCTGTGAAAGCAATCTGTGTTTTAACTCTGGCACATTCTTCAGTCTCGGGCTTTGCAGGATTTTAGGCTTTAGTTGTGAAAAGTTAACTTTTTATGCTACTGTGTGAAGATCAGGACAACAGCACAGGGTAATGTGGCACAATCTGATTTCTCTGTATGGTATTTTCTGGGCTTGGATGTTCAGAGTTTTAAAAAGGACAGGGAAAATAGAAGTCAGTGTAATATTCTTCAATTACTTCTAATCAGAGCAGATTCAGGTAATTCTTGATGTGCATTTAACCAATAGGACAAAATCAGGCATTTAAGAAAACTATTTTATCCAGGTATCACAGATAATGATCAGCCAGAGAGGGCGTCACAGTATTTCAAAATTTCAGAGCAAACACATATATAAAACTTACAGAAACTTTTTATGAGAAAAACATTTTCTCTTATGAAGAATATCATAAAAAAGAGGAAAAAAACTGTTCTCTTACTGGACAAAGGATGACAGATGCTTTTTTCCCCAACATCAAATCATAAGAGCAGTAAAAGATAAAGCTATTCAAACACCAGAAAATATCAGATGTATTTATTTTGGCCAGTAATGGAACTTCTACCAGTACAATTCTGTCAAGCCCATAAGGCTCTCACAAACACTTTATTCCATAACTGAAATATAGGAAAAGAGTAAGTCTAATATTCTATAACAAGCTTACTGTAAAGACTAGGATAACATTATTTTAGATATATTACTATATCTTTTATACTCACATTAGTTTGGAAGTTCTGATATTAACGTTGCCTAAGAAAGCTCTGTTGTTAAACACGAAAACCCCAAAATATTCTGAAACAAACAAACACTATTCCTTATAACTGAAAGCCATGATCAATTTATAAAGGATCCAAACTTAATGATCAGCAGCAAAGAGTTACTCGGAGGCTTCAGAAAAGATGCAAACCTGATGCTTGTATTTATATTTTACAGGTCATGCAGACTTTGCATTTCCAAACAGACCTTGGCAATAGTTCCAGACAGTGTGAACTAAAAGGACATTTACTGGTCAACTTCAACCAAACTTCTCTGTATCCAAACAGGAATTATTGTCCTAAGGTCCACAAAGCCATGCAGGACAGTCAAAATATATTAATCTGTGAAGGTCAACTGCAGATGGTTCTATAAAACTACTGTTAACCAACCACACCAGGTCCAGGAGATGCCTGAGCATTTTATCAGAGATCTACTAAACTTCTAAGAGTAGTATTCACTAATTTTTCTAATTGTGTCAAATCATCTCTCAGCTGGGCTGAGTCACATTCTCACTTTTCTCCAGACCTCTCTTCAAACAAAGGAGTGGTAAATTTGAGTATCATTGTCACATTCATGTGAAAATAGCCAAAAACACCTGAAAGTTTTACCAGTCAGGTAGAGGATTATTTGGGGGTGCAGGGCAGGCACAGAGTCCTTAAAAGCCTTTATTATTATATACAGGGAAAGACACAGGTCCAGAAGAATCCAGGCTGGTCCTTATACTTCAATCTTCATATCTGCCTACTTAAAGAGTGTTTCTAAAGGTCAGGAAACAGAAGAGGGTATGAAGTAGCAGAGAGGTGAACTGCTCATAGATTTAGCATTTAAAATATCCAAGGTGTGTTCTGGGTCATAACTACATTCAACCCTGCATATATTTTCAAGACGTGTGTATTATACAAGGCTTCTAAATGCACAAAATTTGAGTGTAAAAAGAAAGATGATGCACGGGGAAGGGTGGAACCTTACCAGAAGGTAACAGAAACCACTCCAGGAAATCATATGCATTACCTCCCTTGGAACTGAAAGAACTAAAGTGCTAATGGTTCTCTAAAATCAATAAACTGGCCTGAAAAAAAGGACTTTTCTAACTTTTAAAGCTTCACCTCGGAAACTTCAATAGGTCATTTACCAAGACGTTTTGAGACAATCAACAACAACAAGTAGGGAAAACAACAATCCGTGATGTTTAACTCCCCCCTGCTTGCAAGCAAAACCCACCCAAATATCGGCTCCGAACAACCTCCATTTCCTTTTACGTGGGAAAACAAACAAACAAACAAACAAAAGCAACCATGAGGAATATAAAAAACCAGAGGCTGGTCCCTTCAGCGGGAGGCTGAAGGTTGGCAGGGTGTTTGGGCCCTGTCACCGAGCGGGAGGAGCATCTCTGCCGATGACACGCACGGCTGTTGCCATGGTTACCGCGGAGAGTGGGGAGAGGGGCCTGGCAGGGACCAATTTCCTCCTCCAGACTGGCACTGCCACCAAAGGGAAGGAAAAGCCCTCCCAGAAATCTCAGCAGAGGCGGAAGGCTGAGCACAAACAAGTTAAATTTGTGCAGGGAATGTTTCTAAGACATTCGGTCAGACACAAAAACAACCTTTCCAACATTATCCTCCCTGAAAGAAATGATTTCTAAGATATTGGACTGATAATAGCACACAGCCTTGTGTTAAATTCTTTCAGGCTTTCCAGAGCCCGTATAACTGATTTCTACTACAGTGACATTTCTATTGAACAACAGCAATTATCAGTGAAACATCAACATATAAAACTTATTATTTTATTTCCAACTCCAAAGGACTCACATGGTACTGACTATGACAAAGAATAACTTAGAGGGCACTGCTCATATTAGAAAAGGGCTTTCAGTCTATGTTGTTACACTTAAAATGTTTTTGGTTACCCACAGTGTGATTTATGGAGAGTACAGAGAGGTTTACAAGTCTGGTAAGCTCTTTTGATTTGTAAGTTGACACAACATTCCTATTTCTTGTGTTTCAATGCTCACTACATAAAGATGCCACCATTTACTTAATTAAAAAATTAACTCCATTCCAGTTAAAACAACATTACAACATTGAAAAAGCCTGAAAGTTTAAGAACAAATGTTCAACCTCAAGGGTCTTGAGCACATCATTGCTAAAGCAATATGACAAAAAAAAAAAATTTGAAAAAATAATACTGTAGGAAAAAATGTGTTTTGCTTAATTACATCATATTTGGCCATCCATTTATTAGCTAATTGCACAGAATATGCATTTTACTAATGCTTTCTTAATGGTCTGCATATCTGTAACAGGTAAAAACTCCCAAACCCCATTAAAATACGAACAACACTATTTGTTTTGCTGGTTTACTTCAGCAATGCTTAGAAACAGCTTGTTCCTTGTTAATTCATCCAAGAGCTTCTTGAAAATCCACAAAACACTAATTACAGGATGATAGAAGAGTATGAGGGTACCTGGGGATCAGAGCCATCAAACCCTCCCTGGGAAATGATCCTCTGAAGGGACTGAAGCAGCCTCGCATAAGCATCGTTCATGTTACTGTTGGCAAGAAGAAAGAGTTTACTTACACATTTTAATGCTCTCTAACACCTGTAAAAAACCCAAATATAAGTAGATGCAGCTTTCAGTGCAAGTGTCTTGTGGAAAAAAGTGCCAGAGAAGAAAAAAAAAACCCCACCCCAAAAACTCTCTGAATAAAGTTGACATTATAAGCAGTCGTGATTGCTCTGTGTTAACTCGTTCAGCGCTCAGACATTCAGTGAAAGCTAAAATCTCTAGGGATTAAGATAACTTAATTATGTCAGGCTCGCTTACATCTAGGAGATTAATGATCTAATGTTATCAACTTAAAGTTGAGACCATTTACAGCACAGGACTAATCTTCTGTAACTGACAAAGACCTACCCAATCCTTATTCCAAGTAAACCCACTCAGTGCCCTGAGGAAGAGTTGACTTCCTGGGAAAACTTTCATACATTTTCACTGCTTTACCTGCAGTGACAGAAACACTGTGAGGTAGCATTTATTTTATGTATTACTTACAAAACACAAGGTTCAAACAAACAGGCAAAGTGGTGGCTAAAAATGGAGTTAAGCAGACTTAAAACCAGATGAAGGTTCAGCAAATCATCTTGTCAAAGACTTAGAGGGTCTGGTTCCTGCACATCCAAACACTTCAGTTATCCATCCTGCCTGTGCTCTCCACTTCCCAGGCTAACACATTCAAAGGACAGAGAGCCCTAATAATCTTTATTCTCAAAAAGCAAGCCAGTTGTTCACTTTTACAAGAGACATACTGTTTTCTTAAACCCCACAGAGCATACTGGCCTGGGGAGCTGGGTTTGATGTGGGTTCCTTACAGCAGTGGAGAGCTTAAGCCCTTCTATCTTTCCTGGCTTCGACATTTCCTTCAAGTCTCACTAATTAACATCAAGGCTTGTGGATTCAAACCTTCTTGTGCACTCCTTGAGAAATATGGCAGGTTATCTTGAAAATTTTGCCTCTAAAAATATTCTCATTTGCTCTGACCTTTTGTATATCTGGTCTGATAACAGCCCAGGTTGGAAGGCACTCTGAAAGATCACTTGGTCCAAATGTTAATGAAATTATTCCCATCACTTTAATAAGAGCCAAGACTGTTACCCAAATGCATTTTACTAATTAATACCTAAAGAAACCCAAACAAACTTGTTTGCATCCTTTGGCACAGGAGACAAGTTCCTGAGAAGCATGAAAGAGTTGCAATGATCTGCTTTATACACCATTGCTTCAACTCAGAATTCTGTATTTCCTTCAAGAATACAGTATCAGTTCAAAACCAGCCTCCTGATACATTTGAGTTATAAATATCTACAAACAAAAAAGTTTTATGGCCATAACAATTTCGAGTTTTGAAATACTCCATGTCAGAAAACACTGAGATGACACTTCTCAGATATAATCACAAAGAAGAGTCTCCAAATTAAACTCCATATTTTTCAGATTTAGTACCCTAGAAAGCCAATGGTTAAACTGATGTACCTTAATAATTTAATACCCTTTATGAAATTCAGAGCTGAAAATTAACTGGCAATATATAATCTCAACATGGTATTTAACTTGTGAAGTCTGCCTTGCTATACAGAAAAAGAACATCTCAGACAGGAAAGTGGAACTTTTGAAGTCCAGTACTTTCCTAGTGTTAGTTGCCAAATGAATGGTTATTATTTCACCTGTCCTGCCTGGCAGGTGCCAGTTTACAGGGCAAACTTCAGCCCCCATGGCAGCCAAAATGTCTTCTCTCTCTGTGTCTTCACATTATCACAACACGCACACACAGAGTCCTTGTTGTTAAAACTTAATGGATAACAAAATAACTAAAGCACTTAGCAGGATTAAAGGGTCCCAAAATTAAAACAAACAAATAAAATAGATCGTCAGTTAATACATCAGAAAAACATTTGCAGCAAAGAATTAAAAAAGAAAATGTTTTGCATACAGATTTTTTAAAAAAATGTAAAAACAGGTGCTCTTCTATCTCTTGCTTTAGTATAAATGGTTTACTTGAATTTGAACCAAGCTATATAAATAAGAACATGAAAAATATTGTGGAAACACCATTTTTATGAACAAGTTGCATTACCCTTCTGGCAATGCCTGTCATAATATTTAAGAAGGAAATATTTCTTATTTTCTTATTTCTAGTCTTTTTTTTGGCTTTGTTACTAAACATCATTTAATTCTGATAATGAGTTTAAACAATCCCTTCTTTACTCTTTTTTTTTTGTTTTGTTTAGCAATTTAGTAATGCATAAAGCAGGAGTTGGCAAGAAGGTATCCTGGTTACAACAAAGCCTCTGACTTCTCTGTTGATAGTTTCCAAGCAGTTAACAAAGGTTAGGTTATCAAGGGTATGACAAATAGCCTTATTATGTATAAGGAGACCCCATTAGGCAAGACAGTCAAACCTCTTTTATCTAAATTTATTGGTAAATCTAGACTCCAGATAAATTTGTTCTTTTTCAAAAGCACACCCGTTCTCAAGGTGAAACTTTGCAGTATTACTGAAGAACCACAGCTTAATTATTTTAGGTCCTTGGATTATCAGACCTTCTCTTTTGGTAATTGAAATGGAAGAATGAGAATAGATGTAAAGAGATGGAAAATAACTCTTGTCTGTGATGCACAGAGTTACCAGAGGGGATATTTCTGCCTTCCTGTTGAGGACAAGCTTTAGCAATGCAGCAGAAAGGACCCCACCATATCCTGGCAACAACAAGCAGAAAACAGTTGCTGTTCAGCCACACAACCCTGTCAGCCCAGTCCCTGCATTAACACCAGGACATAACTGCCCTTCCCCAGCATAAAATATGAGATAAGAAAGAGGAGGTTTCTGCTTTCTTTTGGCACCAACCAACCAGTCCCATTTACTGCTTCCTTTAGGAGAGCTGACTTCATGATCTGTTTTCTATTAACGCTGATCATGCGGAAATGAACTTCTACAAAGCTTGAGTGATAATCCAAAGGGGGGACCCTGTAATCTAATTTAGCCACCAGGTACCAGAACCACGGAAAGGGGAGCAAACACAGCACTGCTCCCTCTGTCACAACCCAGATACACACACGTGTGTGAAAACACAGGAAAGACACGAAAGGTTGAACTTTAAGGTGAACAAGTGATGTTGATCATCTCCAAAACTGATCCTTAACTGCAAAGTAAAAGGTCAGGTTTGTCTGATCAGCCAATGACTTATCCTTCCAAGTCCATAAAGAAGCCAAGTGCTTGTGTGGATAGGAAGAGAGCCATATGTATAAATACACATGATTTCTCAAAGGGCCAAGAGTTTCTGGCCCGTATTAAGTCTCTATATCTGTGATCCTGCAAGGGCAGCACTGTAACTATCTCACAGTAGACACTGGCTACAATTACAGAGACAGTTCACCCACTGAAGAACAGTTTAAATAAAATGTGTTTCTTAATGTGAAGCTGGAGAATTAGCTTAAATTCTTAAATGGTTCCTCTGCACCAAACATTATGACACAGGACCTTGCTTACTAAAAGAGGCAGCGTTGTTTTTCCAAGGGTTGTAAAATATATGTTCACTGTTTCTGGCAGGAGAGCATAAGCTGCATAAAAAAAGATAGGTGCAAAGGAAGGTACATTACTTTTTTTGTATATTTTCTACTATAACTGCATATTCTGTTGTTACATCAAGGAGTGATGAAAGGAGAGTAAAGGACTGCTCTTGCTCCCTACCCCTTCCCAAAGAAAAGGAGGGTGGGGAAAGAGAAGTGTTTTGAATTTTAGGAAGGAAACATGAAACCTAAATTCCTCCAAAGCTACTCACCCTCTAACACAAAAGGAAAGGCAAAAGTAAGGCTGGTCAACAAGGTGAATTCTGGGTGCATCTAACAAGTTATGGATTAAGTACATCCTCTGAGGAACATTAATTACAAACAAAAGTAGCAGGTCTCCCTCAGGAAAACAGAAAAAACTCCCTCCACATAGGGCACCGCTGAGGGAGCACCTTGCTCACATCAGTAGGTATGATAATTTAATCAAAAAGGTGCCGTAAAAAGTGTGCTGAGCTTCTAAAAATCTCTATTTACAACTACCAGCCCAGTCATTGCCCATGACCTTAATGCAGAATGTGTGTATTTGGTCAGGTACACTTTCCACGATGACCACCAAGGTGCCTCTTCAATGGCTGGAGTTATAGGACTATAAAAATTATAGGAAAATAACAATTTATTTCAGCCTCAGCTTAAACCATGCTGTGCTTTAAAGCATTACAAGTATTTAGAATGGACCATGCTAGCTGAACGAATGTGGAAACATACTGAAAAGAGGGAAAAGTTTCTCTTCTTTTTGCCAGCTAATTCCTGATTTTTTTTGCAAGTTCTGACACTATAAAAGGAGGCATCATTACTCAACAACAATATCATTTACTCATGGAAAGCCATATACTAGGCAAAACTGTTGGTTTCAACCTCTGCATCAGTGACAAAAGCAAAACATTCTCAGATTTTAAAAACCCCCATAACACACCACTGACTTTGGTCTGCAAGCCTACACAACTTAGGAGAAATACTTCATTCAGAAATGTCTTCACTGATACATATCTTGCAAAGTATACCCTTTAGAAAGGTATGAAATCTTTTGCAAACGTCTCATATCATACAGTCTATTAATGTAAATTATTTCAATCCCCTTTCTTAAAAATATCTCCTTATTTTTCAAAGGATGTGCCAGCTTCCAGTGTTAACAGGTTTTTCTGTCACTCTTCTTTCTATAAATTAAGTTGAAAGAAAATCAACAGGTCTTTTTTTTTTGGCTATGCATCTAACCATAGCCTGAGAACCACATGCTTTTAAAGTTATATGCTCTTATAAACTTTCTTCAATTAAATCATCCTGAGAGGTTCTTGAGCTTGTTTTCATTCCTTGAGAAAAAGAATGTTTCCTTCAGAATTTCATCAGAATATTTGTAAAAAACAAACAAACAAAAAAAAAAACCCCAGTCCAATCTCCTGAGTTTCTGTAAAAGCCTGAACTTTTTGACAGCAGTGAAATAACAGATGAGTTGGTATTGGATTTAATACATCATGACTAAAATATATTACAGAATCACAAAAATAGGGAGGAAAAGGGTCTCAATAGGTCTGACAGATATTTACCTAACGTGTCCTGAGACATTTTCAGTCGTGGAGATCCTACAGTACTCCCAACCCACGTCTGCAAAGCAACTTCTTGTGCAAATCATTCGGAAAACATCTCCTCACTTCCAGCCTGTATTTCTACTGCTACAGTTCACTGCAGCCCATGGTAGCAGAAAGCAGAGTTATACCCCCTGTATGTCACTTTTTAAAATGCTTCAGAACTCTGTTTCCACCTCTCCAAGAATTTCCAGTCTTCATTTTAAGCTTTATTTCAGAGGCCATAATTTTGAAAAATTCTCCTTCCTACCTTGTCTTAACGTCAACCTTGTGCAACCTTTTGAACACAGGGAATCCAAAACCCCAACTGTTTGTGGTCAGGGCAGATAATAAAGTTAGAAGACAAAAGATCTGCTGTAAAGAAAGAGATGTACACGACTCTTTACAGTTCCCACAGATTTCCAAGAGTTCACTGTTCTCTTGTGCTCTTTATTCCTCCCTGTCCCTTATCACACTGCCTTGTGGTCTAAGAATGATGTTTAGGATGGTTGTCTGTCACTTTGGTACCTGCCTTTACTCCCAGCAATCCAATTCCCTCATTGCCTCAGGAGAGGCTTCCTGCAGGAGACCCATGTTGAGGGTGCAGGGAGAGGAAAACGAGATAAAACTTCCGAAGTCCAGTTTTGTTTGATCACGTTCCTCACCCCATCGCTCTGTGCTTTAAGCAATTTGCCATGAAAATTAAATAAATCCAATCTTTCTGTCAGGTGAAATCTAAAAAGAATAGTTCATTCTTACTTCATATAGTAAGAATGATGAACTTTTATCAGGTTAGCACACAAGGCCAATAACCAGCATTAAGCAAGGCTTATAAAATCAAATGCATAGAAGTTAAAATCCATTTCCTATACTCTACTTATGAGTTAATTTGATTTTAATGTGAAATGAACAAATACTTGACAGCCATACAGTCAGTGGAATTAAGCCCAGAGCCATGAGACATTCTAGTTAGCTAAAGAAAAGACAGAAAGGGAGTTAAATTGCTCAGTAACAATAGCAACACTTGCAACCTGTCAGATATTCTTGTGTCTCTCCTCTATTGCTCTGCTACTAAAAAATAAAAAAAGTAATTATACATAATATATAAACAAAACTTTGTTCAAATATTTACTATATAAAGAATAAAATATAACTTTTTTCCCTTCTCCTAAAAGTGTGGTTTTGGTTTTTTTTTATAACATCACAAGAATTTACTTTACAAAGCAGTGACATTCATCACATAACACAAATTACAGAGAGACTTGGCTTCTGCTTTTCTACAGCTCTAAGAAAGGTGCTTCATACTCTGCTTCCTTCTTCTTTCCTAAGTCTGGAGTTTTATATTTGAGTGCCCTCCAATGCCAAACAGTCACAGTGAAGGGCACCACACTCCTGCTTCCAGCAGCTGGCCCTGTACACTGGGATCTATAAAAGTAGGTATTATATAAATTAAATGACTGGGCTGGACAAACAAATCGCCACCCCGTCCTTCATGTTTGACTTGAAATGTCTCCAAGAAAGACACAATGGATGTGTGTCTGCAGGCTAATATGAGTCTTAGCTACTGTCACTCTTTCTCTTGGGCTTCCTTAATTCCCTCCTGAGAAACATAAACATAACAAGTCATTCATTCAGAGGAGCGTTTGAATAGGAAATGTTTTGTGAGACGCAATTAGCGATCGTAATTTTATTCACAGCAATCTGTATTTTCCTTAGGTGAAGCTGCAGGATGCAAGAAGTAAAAGCACATAATCAAGTGATCTCATATAGCATTCTAAGCTATGTAGGTCAAGGATGGCCTGTCTCCTTAGCCCTAAAAACTGCACAGATATCTTCCCACGACTGACGGCCACCTGACATGCACATCTCGGGGAGCTGATGGTGCTCAGGGAGGAGTTCTCAGACAGACAGCAAGAGTTCTCTCCCCAGTCCCCAGACCCAGCTGTCAGTAGGGCTGCACTGAACATGCAGCTGTGTCCCAGGCTGTCCTAGTAATGTCTGCCTTAATTGTGGCTGCCAACCTCGCTTCCTCCCCCGGCTGAGGAGCGGGGAGCGCGGAGCTGTCTCGGTGCCATGGCAGCTTTGCTGACACGAGGCCACAGCCGAGAGGTTCCCGAGCCATGTGGGGCTGCGAGACTTTTCCCAGCCAGTGTGGATGCAAAAATATCCTCTGCTACCAATAGGGAGACAAAATCTTACAACTTACCACATTTTCATTTTAGGCTGTGAAGACAGTTCTTCGTGAAGGTAAAAGCTGTGGAATTTTATGGACTGAATCAGTTCTGGAGGCATTTTCTTGGAAACATCGTAATAATGGCCAAACTTTGTATATGATGCTGGGCTGGCCTGTGGAAACAACAATAACCCACTCAATTATTATCTGTCAAAATAAAACAATTAACTAGTAATCCACTTGAAAGGAATCTCTATGGTTTTTCCCAGTCAGCTTAAGTAAAAGCTTCACATAAGAAAACATTATAAATATTTACTACTAAGTTTTTGTTCCCCTGTTGACATTCTTGAACGTTCATTTTTCACACAGAATTCAACCCTTACTGTTCCAAGTTGCCTCAGATACTTAAAAGAATGTATTTCTGCATGTGTTCTAGACATATGATCCCAAATTTCAAAAGCCCAGACCCACGAACTGTGCAGACAGCTATGTGTTCCACCTCTCTGATTTTTCAGTCTCTGGGAATTACATGGCTCTACAGAAACATTTTCAGTTGACTTTGAGGTTGTTTGCCTTTATTTGTGACCAGTAAAAAACACAAACCATTGCATCCTCATATACTTAATTTAAATTTAAGAAAACAGGAAATAGTTAAAAACTACTTTAAATTTCTTTAAATTGGAATAAACAGCAGAGGTTGAGCATGACACACAATAACCATGGTTTATCAAAATGAAGACACATTTTCCTCAGCTCTCAATTTTGGGTATATCAAACATCATAAAACCCCCCAAATATACACCTGGACAGGAATTACACATTTTGAATGTGTTGTGCTAGTAAACAGAGGAAATGAATGCACATTTTTGTTCCACATTAGTGGAGTTCAGCATTCAACCTGCACATTGTTTGAATTCCACATGTAAAGTTAACCCCCCCCCAGATTGTTATCATATGCAATATAATATATGCAATATTCAAGTACAAGCTTACAAAAAATATATTAAAATGTTAGGATTAATTACAACAATTTGATTTCGGGTAAATATTTTGAAATTATTTGACTAATAGATGTTAGGCCTGGTTGGTTATCAGTGCATATAAATAATAACAATGATACAACATCTTTCCTACAAAAACAATAGAATAACCAACTAACCCCAACCTTTAACAAAACAAATAATTAGTTTTTAATTAAAAAAAAGCCAATAAATTGATTATGTCTATCTAGTCATAAGAGGCAAATCAGTTTTACTAAAAAAAGACAGAAAACCACATTCTAGAAGTCGGTGTTCCAATTTATTCATTGGTACCTGATTTTTAAAGTAGGCAGTCCAATAAAACATAACATTCTATCGACATTTAAATATTTCCCATTGTAAAATGTAACTTTATTGAAGACAAGGATTCTGAAAGCAATTTAAACAGGGGCTGTTCTTTGGCCTATAATCTATTCTTTATCCGGATTACAGATCAGAATGTTTTTACTGCAATCTCTGCCAGAGCTCATCTTTTTATTGTGTACTTCCAAGCCCCCTTAATGTTTTAGAAAGGCCTTGACTAACTGAACTTTGATCTGATGTCTTCATTGAGAAAAGCTCCAGGTTGCCCATTTCAGATGCAAATCCTCGCTGAGGCCCAATAGAGTTTAGTAAAGACAGCAAAAAAAGAAGAAACAAGAAGTTTCCAGGATCCTCTTTGAGAATCCTGAGGCACATTGGTGTCCTTAATCCACCCCGCTGCATGGATTACGGTAGGTGATAACCCCTCTCGATTCAAAAGAATGAGCACAGCGCCTACAAACTTGGGTGGAGACTGGGATTTGGGATAATAAACCCACCATGCAATAAAAGCTCAGTCCGTGTCAGAAGCCTGTGAATAGCCCTCAATGTTGGGCATTCCCAGGCTTAGCAGGGAAGCTTGCAGAAAGCCTACCTGAATCAAGTAAGCATGAATAATCTGCCCCAGCACAATGACCGTGGAGAGCGCCAAGCAGAGGCTTCCCGCTCCTCCTCTCGAGTTTGATCTGATAAATTTATTAGCAGGTTGCAAGGCTCCAGTCAGTTCTTTCCTGGATTTTTCCCGTTTTGCACAAGGAGAAATGCACTAAATTGTCAGTGAGCAGAGCGGGCTTTTATGCTACCATCTGCTGTTAATGTTTCTAATTGCGATCCTAATGTGCTAGAAACCTCAGATTTGGGATGAACCAAGGCAGAAAATTGATTTCATGCTGTGACAGTTTATATATTGCCCCAAGAACATAAGCAGTTCATTCAAAAAAAAAAAGAAGAAGAAAAACCCATGCACTGTCTTGCATTGCAAAACAGGCTCTCCATACACTCAAAAGTGTAAATGGAATAACCTCTGATACAGGTGTAGGTAACAAACTGGCAAAGGCACACCAGCCATAACGTGGCCCTGTCCTCTGACAGATTTCTTAGAGGTCTTCTATCTTTTTCTGAGGTACAAGGTGTGTGCAATCTGCACAGAGAAACTGTGATAGCTACGAACAGTATGAGTAGAAATGCCCCGCCTAAGAACAAAAATGAGTTACCCAGCTAGTGTATTTGGGGTCTAATAAGTGGAAAGGGAATAACTGAGCTATTAATTTACTTCAATAATAACTAAATTAAGCATCAAAGATACCACAAAGACAGTTTTTACCCTGCACTCTTACTCCATATACAGTCAGATAAGGGATGGAAAACTCCCTGCTAACATCTTTAGAGTTCTAGCTAATAGCAAAGCTATTTTCTCTCTTTCATCCTTGAAACCATTTGACAGTAGTGTTTGAAAATGCAATAGTATATTAGTTCAATCAAGTTTGGAAAATACATCTATTCGACATTGGTTTTTTTCCAGCAAAAGAAAATTTAAAGAACAAATCACAGCCAATGTTGTTAATTAAATGACAGCACTGAGTCCATTGTTGTGTGTAGCAAGGCAATATCAGATTTTTCCTCAGTGGGGTATATTCAATCAAATCAATTTAGCACAGAATCAAAATTTAATGATATCTACAAAATATTGGAAAAATATTATAAAATATTGGAAAATACTAATTTCAAACCAATTTTTCACTAATTGGAATATCCCGAGGAATTTTAGGTACAAATAGTTTGAAATTTAGAGACTTTTATTTGTGTGGTTTAGTTTTTTAATGAATTTACGTACACATAAAAATAGTGTATTCAGTTATTCAGAATGATCAGCATCCAATTACAAAAACAACAATAAAAAGGGAAACAAAAGACTGGGCATCTTATTCTGTCTTGCACAATCAATTTTCAACAATCAAGGACATGTACATGATGTATTTTTGAGAAATCTTACATTAGTGGAAGTGTTTAGCTCTGTGAAGTTAGAGAAGATGAGGGCACACCTAAGTGGATTTTTCAATACTTTTTTCCTCTTCGGTTAGAACATCAGAGCACTATTTGTCAACAAATACGCAGTTGTTTCCATATCACTGTATCAGGAGCTCTGCTGGACTTTAAACCAGACAAATTATTTTGGGGATGGGTGAGAGTGGCACAGCAAAGCTCCACAATAATAAAATTGATGAGATTCTATGATTGCCCCGGAGGCTGTTGGATTTTGCATGTCACCACATATAAGTCTTTTCTGACACAACTATATAGCCATGTCTGTGCAATTTCACAGAAAACCAAACATGCCAAGCCCTGTAAGATCATTTTGTCACATTCCAATTATGTTTTTCAAGAATAAGACTGAACTTCCTAGGCAGGTATGGCCAGACCTAAACCAGGATTTATAAACGCAGGCTAAAATGTATAGACAAAACAGGGGGTTTTATTCTGGATAGTAAAAAAGGTGGTAATTTTGTTCAAGATTGATTGTGCCACTGAATTAAATGAGGAAGTCACCAGCCATGGGAGATGGATTATCCACAAACACAACTGTAAACTCTGAAAGACTGACCACTGGGCTTGTTTCTTGTATTGCCCCTGCACAGTGTTTCGTTTCCAGGGACAGTGAAGCTGATAGAATCTCAAGTGCTTACTTTAGTTGTTATGCACATGGATAAGCAGGTCAACAGTTTGCTTCAACACAGTACTTTCACTGCAGAGATCTGAGTAAGCAGTGTTGATTAAACCTCCTTAAGTGATTTGTGTTCAACTAACTTTGGGGAAAGCTTGAAAGTGAGCACGTCCTTCAGACTTCCATAAAAAGCTATCTCACTAACAAAATCCCATGGAACTTCAATGTTTTTTACTTCAAAATTATCACTGTCCATATTAAGTTTTACAGTTCCTGCAAACTCTCAAAATCCCTTTCTTTTTCTATTTCTAGCAATTAAAAAAAAAAACAAACAGTGGTGTATCATAATTTACCCTCAGGAAGCAATCCCATAACAGTGTCCACTAGCACTTCTCTCCTCTACACTCTACTGAAAAGCACTTGCTCTTCAAATTCATCTTGAGTGCAAGAGGGAGAAACTAGGAAATGGTGATTACCTCCATTTTTGGTAAATTTTGGTAGCGCCAGGCTATTTTCATAGAATCCTGAAAATCCTCTGACTTGAGGGCTGCTGCTTCATCTCCCAGTTCCTTTCCAGAGGTATCATCAAGCAGAGGGGCTGGAAGTTCCTACAGGTAGAGAGCAAATAAAATTAAGAATGCAGAACAGAAATATTTATATTTTATATTCTAATTGATACAAACAACACAAGTTGAGCAGCATCCACACTTTTTTTTTTTTTTTTTTTTAATCTTTAAATGTTGATCTCCTAAACTATCCCATTTCTGAGACTGGGTAAGTTCCCTGCATAGTGAATTTAAGCCTATTTTAAAGTAAGATCTTTGATAGCTTCTGTAAGTCTTTCAAAAGTATTCAACAGACCACAACAGCCTACAGACAGCAGCTGAAAACCACTGCAACAGGATGGTTTGAATTTTCTCATGGATTCCTCCATGAACACAAAAACAGGAGTGAAGGGGAAGATTTTGAATCCTGGATTTTTTATAAGTTTCTAACACACACACTTTCTACCTTTGCTGTAGTGCTGCAAAAAGCAAACAGCACTGTGTGGGTACCAAGCACTCAGAATTCATGCCCTGGGTTTTTACACCTCCTGGAGAAATGAAGGGCAATCAAGTTTTCTGACCTGACTTTATTACACCTGTCTCTGTGAGCTGGAGGGCACAGATCTCTTTATCTGCTTAAAACAGATCAAGACTTACTTGAAAACTAAGCTTTCATTAATCAGTAGACTCCTGAGAGAGACCTGAGATGTGTCTCCAGGGTTAAAAATACACAGAGCTAGCCAGTTAATACCTCTGTTACAATGTATTAGGTGCGAAGACACAGAAAAAAACCAAATTTGAAAATTTTAAAGAAGAATCTCAATGGAAGCATGGGATACACACCAAACTCTGCAGAGCTTATGCTGGCCAGAAACATCCCAATGGCACTCATGGCTTCATGAAGGCAGAAATTACACCAGACAGGAGGCAGTGGAAGTTTAAATTAATCCATTTTGGGTTTAGTGTTACACTAATTCAGTATTAAAGGACACAGGACAGCAAACCTGTAAATAATTCTAAACATCATCTTACGAGCCACATGTGCTGTTTGGATTCTTTAGTGTCAACTAACACAGTATTTACAATTACTTAAAAAACATCAGAGCAACTATTTCTAATTTCAGGACAGTTATTTCTGCCTCTTTCAGAGGTTGGTCATTACATCCTCTGAGATAAGAGACAATGGAAGCCACGGAAACTTTCATAAACTTTATAACTTCAATAAAGTTGCAGAAATAAAACAACCTATATATTTCAGCAGCTAAGCAGAAGACAGAAGGCACACCACCTTTGAGCAAAGAATTTTATTTTATTTATTTTCTTTTTGCAAAGAAACTAAAGCCTGGTAATGGCTATTATGCCCAGTTACACATCCAGATTTCTTGCAGCTTATTTAAAAGATACACTCGTATGCAATAAACTCATATTACCATGGTGGTAAAATTAAGCTTTATGGGTAGGAAATCTACATGAAGTTTACAATTTTAATTTTCCAATTTTCATTAAACTTACAGATTTATAACAGTTGTTTCAGTTTATAAAAAAATTAATTAATTTTGTTAAAGTTGCATTACATCTACCCAGTAAGAAAGCAGGGAAGCTTTCAAACCACAGAAAAGAACTTCTGACAGATAGGAGGAAACGGAAACAGAACACTGCACTGAAAGGTTCTGAGAAGGTATAAATACAAACACGAGCTGACAAGCACCCCAATGCTTTTCACATACATGCAGATACAAATCCTCTACATTCACTCCTAAGAGAATTATATAAAGTATTTTTATAAAAAAAGGAAAAACATGCTATTTTGAACTGTTGACTTTATAACTCAGAAATCCACAATAAGGAGTTAATTAGTCTTATTTTCCAATTAAGGTGCTACTTTGAAAACACACTGTGAAACTGTTGTGCAGATTTGATTTCCTAACATTCACAGATGTAAACTTCCTACCATAAAAACATCTTTCCAGTGAAGGGCTGCTGATACTCAATCATCTCAAAATATTCCTCAATTATAGCAATTAAAAAACCCAAATCCACCAAATTCCATTTAAAAAAAAGAGAGTTCCGCAAAGAAACAATCCTGGGGCCACAACAACGTTTCCAGATATCTCTGGAATATCCAGATATCTCCTTTCATTCACCAAGATCAATCGGCTCCCAGGCACTACCTGAAACTTTTTATAGTGGTGGGGAGTTTTTCTGATAACAAGTGCCTGCCAGAGATCATAAAATCCTGCCTGAACATTTCAAACTCCCTGAGCTGTCCCCTGTTTCAGATACTACCACTGATGCAACAAGTTGCAACCTCACCCTGGGCAGGTATCACACCATCTGCAAAGCCAAAATCCAGAAAATGCCATATTTTCCCATTCACCTCTCCTGGAGATAACAAGAAAAACAACACCAATATTCTCTTAAAGCTATCTAATATTTTTCTCCTCTAGAATCATTGCAAATGCCTGACATTTGTACAACCGGTCCATTGTTATCATCCAATAACTGGCAAAGACAAATTTGAGACAGGGACATCATCTACGTAAATTCCTTAATGTATATTTTACAAAAAAAATCTATTTTATACTAAAAAAAAGAACAGAGGTCAAGGACAATAAGGGGTGAAAGGTTCTCCAAGTAACGCTGATAAAGTACAAGCTGCTTAAATAACACGTAACACTGAAAAAAATAGCTCCTGCCTTCCAGCGGAACACAGAACAAAACCTTCTAACGTGGCACTCTGTGGCAGGGAGACACCACAAACCCGAGCTGTTGACACCCGAGAAACTCAGCCCAAAACCACCAGGGACAGACACACCATCAGTGCAACACAATTAGGCACCGTGGTATGCCTTGACTGCTGCTAAGAACGAAGCAGATTAAGAGATCAAGGAAAAATGGTTTCACCTGAAGCTGATAAAGATTTTGGGCTGCCAGAGATGAAAACTTATCACGGTATCCACCCAAAACAGCCTTTTTTTTTTTTTTTTCCCAAGGTAGTTTACTTTTAACTTCTGACATCAGAAAGAATTTTTATTTTGACATAATAAAAAAAATTGTAACACGAGAAAATGACTTAAAGGTGACTAAATTCCCCCAAAGCAACATGAGAAAGCCATGACTCCGTGGCACATGCACCAGCTTAGGTCTGTTTTGTGCTGCCTTGTCCCTTCCTGCCCCACAAAAGGAACCAGGAGCACTTGAAGAGCTCTCCCATAGTAAGAACAATTCCTATTTCCTCACTTGCTTTTCCAAAATGCCTTTACCCAAGAACTGCCAGGCTGAAGAACATGCTTCTTGGATGTACTGTGTTCTCACCCTTATGCAAGAAGCAATTTCACACAATGCACTCAGATTATTTAAGACATTTCTGGGGCCATGAGGTCTCACAGCCCTGCCATTTCCTATCCCAACACACCCTATCCTAAGCAAACACATCCTGAATCATACCCTTGTATATGCTGGCTGTGAACTACAAGGGCTCTTAGTAGGCTTTGTGCATAATTAGCTGCAATCTGGAAAAGGTGGTCTGCCTTTGGAAACACCTGCTATTTTGAAAACCAATTGCCTGAGCTCAACCTGCTACGTTAACTCAGTTAAATACATTCCAAGACGTTGTACTTAAGCACAAATAGGGGGAAAAAAAAATTCCAATCTTATTCAAGGTCAGAGCGTATCTGTAATAGGAACGAATTTAACATAAAGAACACCAAACAGAACTAGTAAAGATTGTTTACCCCCAGATTTGCATGCCAACGTCATCACTACTCTCCCAGCTTCTGTTTGTCCTCTTTTCCCTGCCATTCACAGTAAACTCCAAGGAAGAGAGGCAGAACATGCAGGTGCAGTTTGAAGCTGGAAGCCAACACGCCTTCATCAGCCTGCCCAAAAAACTAAACAAACAGAACACCCAGGTGGTCACTAATGTGGGTTTTTCCTTAAGATGTACTGATTCATGCAGCCCAGTCCTCAACTTCCAAAAAAAACCCCAAAAAACTTTCACATTTCAACTAGAACTTTGTACAAGCACGTTTGGAAAAAGGGAGAGAGCTTAAAATTGCTCAGTAGGCTTGGGACTGGAGAGAATTACACACATAGGTTATATAAACCTGCTTTATGGGCAATACTGGAAATATTGAAATGATCCACGTGTTTCTTTTTATCTTCATTATTCTCTTTTATTCTTCATGATAACTAGAAGGGGAACAAAAGGCCTCCCCTTCCTCTGACACTGATAATGAAATGCTATTCTTTGTTTCAAGGAAACAACAGTTTCCACACCTGACCATGCCCGTGCAGAGCATCTAAGTGACAAAAAGCCTCCAGGTGTCATAAAATAGGTTTATTCTCCAAGGTAAAGGCTGGCTGGTTGGATAGGTACTTCACTCTTCAGTGCCATGAAAAGTTTAATCACTGTCCAAGAACTACAAGGCATTCTTCAGTTTCCAGACTGTTCTTTACTTCCAAAATTTCAGCCAGAATTTGGAAATAAAAAGCGTTATCTAAACAATGGGCTAAGAAAAGGAGAGTTGATTTATCAGTCAACAATATCTCTATTTAATCTATTTTTCTTTAAAAACATCTCACTCCCACATCATTGAAAAGCTTTGGGACTGAAAAATTTGTGGCATCGGCGTGTCAGCTCCTGAGAACTGTTACATTCTCCCAGGCTAAAAAAAGACAAATCTTTCATAAGGTATATAAAAAAACAAAGCAGGTAGCAGTGCATTAGTTAAAAAAAAAAAAAAAACAACCACCATACAGCATTTCTAGGGGTCAACTAAAATACAAGTCTTTGCTATGCAGCATGAACACACAAAAAGGCAGACAAGTGTTAAAGTTATTAAGGGGAGTTGGGATGGAGAGAAGAAAGCATGCTGCTGTTTTTAAAAAAAAAAAAAAAAAAGTTTGGGAGAGAAAAATGGTTTTCCAAAGTGCTCACAGTAAATGACAACCCAATTAAAATAATTCCGTTTCCTGCAAACCAAGCGATGAAGGTTTTACTGCAAACATGAAGTGCTGCATTTTGGTAATAAACCTTTTATCTCTGCAATAAAGCAGTGTACAACCTGTGTCTGCCAGCAACGCAGGTCTTCCCGGGTTTGCTGCCACATTACTTTGCCTGCCTTGTTTTGGCAGATGCACGAAGCAAAATCAGATTCTAACAGTTTGACCTCTCTCACTTCTTACGCTCTCTAGGGGATAATAAAATCCAAGATACAATCCCACAGCAGTTAATGAAGCTTAACCTCACACCCTCTTAATTACCAATGCATTACACCAACTATAGGCATCATACTCCTCTCTAAGCTATTTTACAATTCTAAAGAAGTACTACTGTGCTATTATTTGGCAACATAATCCAAGCTGTATGTGAAATCCCTCTTATATCAAATCCTTTGATCCTCACGGGTTTCAATAACTGCATAATTAATAGTACTTCAGAATTTAAAACATTATCTACTGATGTATCAATAAGTGCGTTGTTCACATGGGTTTATGCAACCATTTCGCACCGCAGTTGTTATCACAAGCACGACAGAAGGAACTGGAAATGATATTAAGGGGAGTACAATTCGCTGTTGATCTCTAACTGCAACAACATTTAAGTAGTTTAGATTCACTTGAATTTAAGGCTCTTTTTCATTATGGTAATTTTTTGAATTTAAAAGACACCAGATGGTACACCAGGAAGGGTAAATATTTTCTTTTCAATAATGTATTATATGAGTGTCAGTTTAAAGGGCCCTACTCCCAAAAGGAGGGAGGATTCTATTCTGATTGTAAATACTTGTGAATACAGGGTTTATTGCTAAAGAACATAAATGACTGGATACAGAATTTTTCTCCTTTCAGTAGCCCTTGTACAACAATTTATTTCCATCTCCAGGTAAAGCAGTTCTACAGAAACTTTTCTCTGACATTCAGAAAGACCAAGTCCACCCAGGAGAAACGAGAACTCTGGGAAAAGAAAAGGGAAGCACTGTTCTTCTATTTTTAGGGAATAAAAAAGGTTAATTGCAAGTACTCTAAGGGGTATTTTTTTTAACCCATGAGAATATATTCTCTAGTTCATACACACAGAAGTAAACTGTACAGCCAAGCCATACAACTCTTTGCTGTAACTTCCTTGCATTATGGCTCCATTTCAAAACACTGAAACCCAGGAATGCAGGAGAGACAAGTAGATGATTTTTTAAAAACAAAATTCATCTTCTTCCTCAATCAGTTCACGGATGCTTAAGTATGTAAAAGATAAACACATCAGGCAATGAGATAATAGAAGAAGTAACATGAAGAAACTTAATGAAAATGAGAGTGCCCTTGTCCAAAGTCCTGTAAACTCTGCTGCAGTCTATAAGGCAGTAGCCTAAACAGATTTAATAACAGCATTATTCATTAAAATCTTCAGAGTTGAGCACTGTAAGCAACAGTTCATTAATTGAGCAAATCAGCTCCACAAAATCACCAACCAGATTTGTAAAATAGATGATTGTGAACACTGGAGCCTAAACAGTTAGATTTTGTCATAGTTATGATACATTTAACAGGCTAAGTGAGATGTGTGCTTAAAAAAACCCCACAATTTCAGAACTAGGATGATGAAAGAAAATATCCTAATAAACAGACGAGGATTGGTAGGTAGAAAACTTGAAATTTAAGCCACACATTTATTTCCTCTGGTTCTGGAAAAGCTTTTTATAAGATTGGTCTGAACTTTTGACAAAGCTTTACACTTTAGAGTGTTCCCAGAGTGGGTACTGTTTTAAAGGATTTAACTCTTTTTCAACAGAAGCAATTACTTTTTTCCAAGTGTCCTCTTTCACCCTCTTACAACTTCTCTGTCAAGTTTACAACACAGTTCTTAATGCAGAAAATTATACAATACAATTAAAATATCTGCATTTTAACAAAGAAAAACGTAAAAAAAAGATATTCCATCTACCCAGTGTGCAAGCAAGAGAAGTAAACAGCTGAGCAAGAGCTACACAATTCAGAAGTTAGTTTTCAACTCAGACAGCTGACTGGTTCAACCCCAGTCTTTGTGGTACCAGGAGACTTCAGAAGGAGAGATGGGTGTTAGAAAATTCACTTCTTCTGTAACTGCAGTTGGATTTCTGTGTGTTAAGGGATATCATTTAACAGCATGCAGCAGCTGAATAGCTGTAACAAGTTCGTGTATTTTGAAAATAAAATCAGAAAAAAAAGAATAGGAATGTAGTCCTATTTGTATATATATTTCCACCTTTCAAGTTGTTACACTTTTAATTTATGTATCATCTAAAAATGTCAGATGAGAGGAAAAAAACCCTCTTGTATTCACACACAGCTGCTTTGCCAAGAGCAGAGAGTGAAGGAGGGGAAGGAATCAGAACAGTGCTCTCTGAAAAGGGAAGCCTGGTCAGCCCTGGCCACCAGCCTGATCATTTCTTCCAGGTTTGCATTTTCCCTTTTCACAAAAGCAGTGTTTTGGAATCACCTCTGTGAGGGAAAACGTAAGCAACCATTTCACACGGTTGCATGTAACTGAATGACGGAAGAAACTGGAAATAATGTTAATGCCAAATCTGACGTAATTTTATTATTGAATGTATTTTCCATTTACCAGTGCAAACAGCTTTATTCTATGATCAGTCACAGAAGTTGTCACATAATTGCTTATGTTATATACTGCTCCCAGTATTTATACCCTTACAGTAAGAAGCTGCCTTTTTTGAAGAATATAGAATGATCAGAAGTGCTCTCAAATGTTTAAAATACTTTCTAGAAACCAGCATGCATATAGGTCTGTAGGTTTTACCAGAGGTGTATAATTTTTGAGCATTACATCTTAATGCCAGTTTCCTGAAGGAGCTTTGACTACAAAAGGCATGAATATGTTTTCAAAGGATGATGGATAAATTGGTGGGTGGTAATATAATATATCTTAGGCAGCTGATCAGGGCTTTTTATCCTCTGCTTGTCTTTTAGTTATACACAATTTCAAGATAATTATGGTCTATAAGAATGTCTTTTCCCCTTCCTACTAGCAGCAATATTTGTCTTGGTTATAGGTTCAAGAAACTTCCAATCACATCACAAAATTGGAATAGGGCAATTATGGCAGAGAACTGAACATACAAATAGACTGACCACACAATACAGACATTTAATATGGACAGTTAATGAACTGCCTTTATGTAATACACCAGTTAATTAAAATACTAGCTATGGAATACATCGAATCCATACTTGAATTTTATAAAATAAACCCCAAGCATAATGTGTAATTCAGGTTGATATGTACCACGTCTATGTTGCCTTTCCAGTAAAGAATACAGTCCAATCAGATAACGAAAATAAATTACTAATCTCATTAAATAATAATCTCATTAACTAAAATGCCACATTATTCAATGGTCAGTTGGGGAGTCAATGGCTTGATTATCAGTTACTGAAAACTAATTATTATTAAGAAATACAGCATGTTCTTATGTAATTCATACTTAAAAATCAACTGGTAACCTATTTGTTTAGGCTTCATTCTAAACCACAAGAACAAATGATAAAAATCTCACTCCTAAAGGAACTCTCTTTATTTTCAAGATCATTAAAAAAATAAATTGGATTTTTTTCATAATACAGTCATATAATTTCATTAAGAATACACTTCTTCCTGAATATTGAATATTGAATAGGTAAGGCATAGAATTTCCCACCACTAGATAGGAAAACAGAAAAGTAATCATTTTGTCCAGAAATAGTCTCTGAAGACACTGAAGGAAATAGCCAGACTTCACTTGATGCAGAAGTAATCAGTAAATTATATGTTCCTTCTGATATTAGAAAAACGCAGCCTTAGAAAGACATAAAATATTTAATAAAATTTTGTAAGATTATCCTCACACTTCAGCATTTTTTTGCACTGTTGATCAGATTTTTTTCCCTTATATAATTTTCTTATAACAGAAACTATCAGTGTTTGATTAGCAGTCCCCTGAAGTGGGAAAGGATCCTTTCTGCATGACCTGACCCAAAGCTGACCACATTCCCGAGCACAAAAAAAAAGAGTCAGAACGAAATAAAAGTGCAAAAGGAACTTATAAAGATCTTAAATGGTATTTTTATTCTCTATAGGAAACTACAGTAGATATCTACACAAACTGTGCACTGTTTCCACCAGAACACACTGGAAGTCCCTTAACTACTCTTCCCGATAGGCCACTCAAAACTGTCAAGAGTTGGGTTTACTCAAACCATTCCACTAATCCAGCAAGTCTGTCTGGTTCTCATCCACAACCAAAACAAAGGACAAGCTGGCTCTACTTATCAAAAGCAATGAGTCTTTATTTACCTTCAAGATGTTGTCAGGATGCTCCTTAGCAGAAGCGACAAACAGGTCGTGTCCACAGACAATTCCCTCTGCGAGAAAATACTTGAACAACAAGTTGGAGTAGAGACCGTATTTATCTTCCTCTGTGAAAACAAGAATGGTTGGAGTTTGATTTTGTTGTCAGATAAATCACCCACCTGTATGTATGAATTTTATGGGTTAAGGGGATGGGGTTTGTTAATTTAGGAGGATTATATTAATACTTACATTCTCAGCACTTAAAATATTAACTTGCCTAAAATATCTATTAATTGATGCTTTTCAAAATCCAGCCATATTTGGGCATGCTAAAGCTATACAGAGGTATCATTTATTACAGAGACATTCTTCCATCTGCATTTCTTTCAGAGCTGTGAAAACCACAAACCCAGGGAAACCCAATGTCTATGCTGAGAAAACAGGTCATTTGCAACACTGTTTTTGAAAGGTAACCAGAGCAAAAGCAGGGACACGCTCAAAAGAAACAGGAATTTACAGTTTGAGAAATGAGGCAATGCTTGTTAAGAGACATTGTGAATACTGGCCTACTGAAATGAAAATGCAAACTCCCACTGACTTCAGAAAGGTCAATAATTTCGTTCAGCTTCTTTATTGCAAGTTAAGTTTCAGAAATTACCAGAATTAGAAAATCTTAGTGAACTTCATACAATTAAAACTTACCATAACTTAAAGTTATGGGGGAAGTGAATGAGTAAATAACAACTGAAATCTGAACCACCTCTGATGTTCCTTACTTTTAGGAAATCCCAACATCAGCAGTGTTAATGGCAGCAAAAAAAGTTTCAGAAATATAACTACGGCATTCATTGCTCCTTAACATTTTAGATTTAGTTGTAATTCATACCTAAAAAATATATTACAACTTCAATATGTATGAAAATATAATGTTTTGGAATTTAAGAGTCAAAAAGGCTAAGATTAACAAGAAATTCAAACCACAAGTATTCAAAATCACTGGAAAAGAAGTAGTCCTCCAAGAGATATTCCCCAATATCTCCATGGGATATTAGGTAAAACAGAATTTATTTCCTGCTTTTTTTTTTTTTTAATTTCACTTTTAAATTTAGTATTTGGGATACATTTAAAATTTGGAAGGTTTGTATTTTTAATTTCTTCTTTCTTCATAATAATAACCCCTAAAGATACAGTGTCAAGATTACATATTTTGTTGTAAGGAGAAATATTTATTTAAGAGTTTCCCTTTCATTAAGGGGTGCTAATCTTCACCTATGAAGCTCTCAGTTTACAAACCAAAGGCCCTCTAGAAATCAAAGTGACAGCATGATATCTACTTCTTTGTTTGTTTGTTTGTTTTGGTTTTTTTAAATTGTCTGAGCTACCTGAAAAAAGCCACCCTGTAATCACATCACTGCAGCAGATGTCAGTGGAGAGAGACAATTTTGTTAGACCTCCCTCTCTTCAAAAAAAAGAAAAAGAGGAAAAGGAACACTCCTTGGGTGCTCTGGAAGGATCCCCAGCTGTGATATTTATCATCATCCTTGGCAAACAAAAAAAATCTTGGTTTATCAACTTTTATCTGCAGGATAAAGTTCACCTTCTTCACCATTTGAGGTGTAGAAAAACTGAGTTGTATTGTATGCAGACAGCACTTAACTGATATTTTATGGAATTTAAGCAAATATCTAGTTCAACTGTTTCATGGTTGGTGTATGTGCAACCATACAGTCTTTGTGGATCATCATTTTTGATATAAATTATTCCTTAGAAAGCAAACAACATGCTCAGTTTTGTGCCAAACATAACACACAAACTCCATAAACCGGTGCATAAATGTAAGAAATCACACTGTGTGCTGATGATTATTTAACTAAACTAGGAGGAAGTAAGTCTATAGTAGTAAAGAAGAATTTTCACTCAAATTTTATTTGAAATGCTGAAATGTTAAACTGTGGAAGCAAAGCAATGAGGAACAGGGATATAAACCCTTTTACTGACTTAATCAAGATGATAATTAATTTCAATGACTCATTGACTTATTTGTAATATAAGAGGACTAGAGGTGTTCTTACACTGCCATACCCAAAACACATTTTGCAAAACAATAAGGCATTTTTAACGCAGCAGATCAAAGATATTCACATCCAGTGTAAAGACACACCATTTCAGCCTTTCCTTTGGTTTGCTTACACTGATTTTCATAACGGCAAACTTGGAGTGAAAATAGGAAATTAAGTATTGGAGAGTGATCTAAATATAAACCACCTCATAGTCTGCTACAGTACTCTAAGGATTAAATGTGTCTCAGAAAGCCTTTACAACCAGTGTATCTGGAATTGTTAAAGTCAATGCATCTGTAAGAATCCCTCAGTTCTTCAATTTGTCAGATAGAGGATGGCTTTTTATTGATTCATTTCTAGGTCACTAAACTTTTGTGGTATTCAAAAGATCTAAAGTGCACCCATATGGGGCTTTTCTGATAGTATCCATTGTCCCCTGCCTTCAATAGTTAGGTTACTATTCAAACCCACAGGAGTACAGCTCGCTTTCTCCTTGTAAATAAACAAACAAATCATTTGGCACAGGTACCTCACTGATTATTTTCACGGAATCACGGAATGAAACACTTTTCTGGTAAGGCTTGGGCTTACTATTTTGATGGCTAGGGGTGAATTTTCAACTGTCACCTTCACTTTTCCAAGATTTCCAAAAGAACCACCTTCATTCTGCACGTGCAGGAACTCAACACTTTGAGTTCCTTTCAGTCAGGCAAGCACTTGAGACAAACCAGCCTGGCCCAAATTCTCAGCCTGCACAGCAAAGAGCTGTCCCATCAGCAGCCTCCATCGTGAACTTCACTTCCAGCTAATAAGGCACATGACACAAATCAGACTCCTGCAGCTGCACACCCTTTTCTGGGCCCAGTCACCACAAGTCACCCAGCACCTCTGCAGCTTTTCTCTGATTCTTCCTGAACAAAGAGTGTTCCACAGCTAAAGTAGCAGGTGAGTAACCAGTGAAGCGTAAAACTACACGAGGAGAGGAGATTATTTACCTAGAAGTTATGCATATTGTCTCCGGGACAAAAACCTCCTCTGATCCTACAGATAAGGACATAAATAAAATAGTTTATTGTGATTGTTACCCTTTGGTCTCCCTTCCACAGCAGCATTCTTTCATGGCTGGAACAGTCACAAAGGAAAAAGCAGTTCTGTCAGTAGGACTGCAATGAATTCCCAACATATACCCACGTGGAATACTAAGGATAAAGACCAGTTCCTATTTATGGCTCTTTTCACCACTACACTGGATAAATAAGAGACATTCTCAACACCTTTGTGTACAGACTGTCTGTAGCAACCACTCAAAGAAATTAGGTGTAAAATTTTAAGGCCCTGGATTTTATCTGGACACTGATATCACTATGGCACTGCAAATCTATAATTTACCTAAAAATTGGGGGAAAAAATCGAATTATAAGAATTGATACGTAAATATGTGACTGATACGTAAACAATAAAAATGTCTCTAACCATAACCACCCCCTCTGCACAGAGGTTTTCATGTTTCAGGAGAGGGATACAGAGTAAGCTCTAGAACTTGAGGAGGAACAAAAAGTCAGGAACAAAACCCGCCATAAGGTAATAAATACATAAATAAATACGATCATATTTATAACACCTGGCTTTTAAACATCATTTAAACAACATGGAGGTCTTTGAAAAAAAAGTCCAGCAGTAATTTGTAGTATAATTGCTTAAAATGGTGGGACTGTAAAAGGGAAAAATAGCACTGCAACAATGTAATGTACAGGCAGCTTATTTTTTTCCCCTCTGTACAAAGTCTAGACAGGTTGCCCTAAAGCTGCCAAAAGCCTGTCATGGCCTATCAGTATTGATAATTTTTTTCCACCAGATAGTTCTACAGTGGGGTCCTGTGACCTAAGGTGTGTCTTTCTGTGGCTATGAAACATCTCTCTGAATTGCTGCGGGTTACAAGACGCGATTATTTTAATAATCTGAAATTCCAGTTAAAAGATACTTTTCTAATGTCCACGTTTACTAAGCTGGAGGGGATATAGTCTGTGTCACTTGCATTTAATTAGCACATGCCAAAACAGGGTTGTCAAACATCTAAGTTACAATATTTGGCACTTGGCCATACTTCAGGAGGGCGAGTTCTGGTAACTGGTATTTTGTAGAATTATATTCAGCAAATCACTGTTTTGTAACCTCTCTCGAGATTATCTTTCTCAGCTTTAAAAAGAAGATACACTCAGTTCTATTGACAAGGGAAGAGAGCTCTTACCAGTCAGGTTAAATTGCATGTCTAACAAAAATAATAGTGGCTAATTAAAGTAGCTGAAACTGCCTCAAAGGCTTAGAATGTACAAGTATAGACCTGCTTTTAACCAGACATCTTTAACTTTTAATAACTGACCTCAGCTACCAACCAAAACCCTCCTACTGATAATCTTTAAAACATTTAGCTGGCAGTGACCTTGTCAAAACTTAAAGGTAGGTAAGAATAGGTTCTCATACAATACCCAGGAGAGATGTATTTATTTTGAGTGGGCTGTAACTCACCACGCAGAACGTGTCACATGAACAAGGCTTATGTTTAAAAACATAAAGTAACATCCTTCTGGAAACTCTTCCCCTGGCTGCCAAAACAGACACAGAACACGCTGAAGTGTTTAATCAACAGCCACACAACTTGTTTTGGAAGGGGAGGTTCTTCTGGAAAGCTGAAAGTGGTCTCACGTTTCTATTGAACAACCTGGTTTGATGGTGCCACATCAGAATGGCTGTTACAAGCCCACCAGAGGAAGATTTTTTTGAAAATAAAGTACTGGTTAAAATCCTAAAAAATCCTTGTTACATGAACAAAACCAAAGCTTCAAGCTCCTCTAGTAACCGGGCTCTGGGATGAGATTACCATATGCCTCAGCTCTCTAATTCTCATGTAATCAAAACACTATCAAAAGAATATACTATAGAATTAAGTTCAACTGAAAATCACGGTGCTCTTTATTAAGAATTGAGTTTAAAAAATTGTGCACTTGGATTTCAAACAATATTTTCCAGTCTTAGCAAGTAACCTGTGCCATTACCACATCTCAGAACACAACAGTTAAAATAAATATTTTAATACCCTGAATCTACTATTATTTGGTTAAATTAACCAAGATAATGTGTCAAATAATGAAGATGAGCATTTAATTTGCAAAGGGAGCTAAGCTAAAAGTAATGCAATTTATTCTTGCCTTAGAGAATGTCGAAGGAAGGGGGAAGAATTTAACCTTTTTATAACACTTGGAGTACAACACAGAAAGATCTTCCTAGGAGGTTTATCACTGACAGCTTCAATCCTGATAATATTAAGCTTGCCTAGACTAATCTCATGACAGAATTTTTTTGGTGTACTGACAGGATATCCTAACAATGCAATTACAGTTCTACCTGCACCGACTTTAAAAATTAATCTAAAAATTTCTAGACTAATGAGTCACGAATAAATATAGCTCCCGCTTTAAGACTTCTTGTATCTAATTACACGTTCCAAAATAACATAGGTCTTATTTTGGGGGGGAAAATAATTTAGTTTTCAGATGTGCGAGAGACGTTCTCCTTCGTGCTTCTGTGAAGCACAGTTTAATATCAGATCACAAACACAGAACAAGGTAAGGGTAAGGAAATCAAAACCTACCAACCACAAGCCATCTCTTCCATTAGAACACTGACCAAGGAAAGCAAACAGCTTTTCCCTTCCATCACCCTGCCCCGTGTCCACTGCTTTTCACACCCACCACTGCTCCAGAACAACTGCTCCTTTTATTTTATTTAATGACAATTTTCCAGCTAGTGTGTTCATTTGATACCACCCGGTTTTGTCTACAGGAACTGGCAGCAAATATTGTCATGGGACGACGAAACAAAATTAATCCAGTCTCATAATCTCTGATCTGTGTAAATTATTACAGGATACAACATTCCTTTTTGACTTCTTCCTTTACCACAGCGAGATTGGAGCTCTTCTCCATCTGAAAATGGCTTGAATTAGGCAATGCCAGTTATTTCTTCTGATAGGCAACTATTCAAATTACTTAACCTGCACCACAACATACACCCATTTATATACATCAGGTAAAAATCAACATTTTCTAAGATTCAGTGACACATCAGTAACTGTCTCTAACGATGGATAAGATGCAGGAATAAAAACTACCCTTAAAGTAACAAGAAGTCATAGTAAGAGGAAGAGTAATTAGCTTAGCTTGCTCAGTGGCAAACAGAAAATGTTGTTCAGCCTCTAGTGCAGGTTGCACCAACCCTATAAACACCAGAAGATAAACACAATGTGATTCCTACAGTGGCTAAAAGAGACTTAAAAGAAGTTTTCCCCAAATCTCACCGTTTAGTTCTTTAGTGTTAAGACTAATTCCAAATACTGCAAGCATTTGAAACACTTAACCAAAATTTTAGAAACTGGAAAATTAAAAGTTAGACCTGCTGTCCCTAGGATCCTAGTGTTTTTGTTCCAGCAACTTGGGATGAAAAGGTAGTATTAAATTTGTCGCACTACTCGAGATGTGAACTCAGGTCACAGATGCAGATGTTTTCCACATCAGTGTCCCTCATCCACATCCTCACAGAAAGGCTTCCATCACTTTTTGGCTGATTCTGGCAACCAGAAGATTAAAAGATTAAACATCTTCCTCAGACAGCCAAACTTACAAAAAAACCCCAACCCTTAGTGATGGTAAACAGTCTGAATCTTACAGGAAATCAAGTAGTTTAGAAAATCTTTGCTAATTTGAATATTTTGCTAGGAAGTCCTGGAACGTGCTGGACACCATCCCTTCAAACAGAATTCTGTGGTATTCTTTGTGTGTCTAAAATTAAGGCTTTGGTTCACCTCCAGTGATTCTTGAAATGAGCAGCAGTCCACTCTGAAGGCTACACAGAGTGAAGAGACCTGAGAGTTACACTTTGTTAAAGTCTGACTTCAAAACACAGTGGAAAGCCAGACTATTTAATGAATACATTAATATATATTCTGTACTAACCTATAAGAAGAAGGGTTCCAACAGCTACGCCTCCACCTGGAAACAAAACGAAAGGAAAAATAAAGTAAGACTTCATTTTAATACCATGTTAGAGAACAATTAACTTTTCTTAGTTTATAAGTCAAAGAAAGGTGATAACGGGGAATTTAAAAATATAAAAGTGAACAACATTTTAATTACCTTTGCAATACTTACTACAATTCCCTATTATGAAATAATGATACATTACATGTAATTATATACTGCACATTACAATTACTTTCACAATATACTGTACTATCATCATTGTGGTAAAAAGATCCTGCAGAGCTCTACAGAACTGCACTCAAGTACCACAGCAGTGATGTGTGGTCTGAGCCAGCAGATTTTTCCTTGGATGGCTCCAGTGAGTAAACATGCTACAAATTAAATTCGTATTAATCACTATCAAGCGATATTCCTCTGTACCAAGAAGGATGTCAGCAAAGTGGCACGCTAAGAAGCTAGAAAATTCCCACCCAAGGCTTTGAGGCAAAATCCTGGCTCCACTGCTTTTTGTGTTGTTACTGAAAACAGACGTGGCAGTGAGGCAGGCAGGCTTTCACTGGGTGAAATCCTGGACTGATAGATCATAAACACCTAACACACAACTGAAAAAACACATACTATTAAAGTCTTTCACAGCATGTCTTGGACATAACAGCAATTCTATGAATCCCTTTACAAAGGCGGTGAAAGAAGAATTCATATTTTATTTTAGGTGAAGAGTAAACTGGTTTATAACCTGAATCCCAAGAATTACAACAGTGGAGCAATCTGACATCAGACTATTTTGTTGAACAGTCATATGACCGTGACAGGAAAATTAAAAATTCCTGGAAGTGTTCAGATGGCCACACGTAACCAGCGTTTTGCATGAAGGGAATTGCAGTATGACACCTGCAATTACGGGCTGATTTCAAAGTCAGGAGCAAACTGAATCACGCTGGCACAACATCCAAGGCTCCAGAAGTTAATTCTGGATTGCACAGATGGACTCCAGTGAACTGGATCATACATTTCATAAATTTATAAGAGTTCATTAAACTTCACTTGAAATCGATTCTTAATCTCTGCTGGTGGGAACACAAATGTCTGTAATGTTGAATCACTCAGAAGGAAGAGAAAAAGCAAACTTCTCTCCCCCAGGCCAAACAAATTGTTGCATAATATCACCTGAATTAAAACCACGACAGGATCACTTTGCCAGCCAGAGCTGTTAACGTTTGTGCACATCCCCAGGTTGCTGAAGGCCAGCTCAGGTCAGAGGACGGGCCTGACTTACATTACCAGGTGCAGTGAACAGTTTGAACAAGTGTATTCTATCAGATGGAATGCACTTACAATGGTTACATATTCATATTATAATTAGTAACAGCAACAGTAAATTAAGCAAAAAACAGGGGACAGGAAAAATAGCAGGAATACTGATGGAGTCAAAAGGAAGAGGTGAAATCTTTCGAGTTTCCCAAGAAAGCTGTTATGAACCTGTCATTCTTTCTAATTTTGCCAATTTAGTTTTTCTTTGCTGGTACCTAAGGCAGTAGCACATGTAAACAACTAAGCAAGACTTGTAACTTTCCACATTGCTACTTACAGCAAAGAGATTTAGGATCTTAAGGACAGAAACACAACAAACTTTGCGATTGTTTTCAGAGCATATCCCTGACCTTTTTTTTTTTTCCAAGCAGCTTGAAACAAAACACTCCATACAAGGCACGTGATTATTATACTATACAACAGTTGCAGCTCATTACAGAGGACTGCTTTGGCACAAACTGCGGTCTGGAAAGTAAAACCTTGGAAGCAAACTTGACCATAAAGCCTGAAAATGCAGTGCCTTAATGGCAAGAGGGCATTTGAAATCCAGCACTTGTCTAACACTTCTTTTCCAAAGGAAATGCATTTCTTAAGAGGAGTGACCAGCAATAATACAACAAGCAGCCTCTAGCTGTAGGGTAAAGGAAATTATTCCTTGTGTCTTCTGCCTTTTCCTCTCTTCAGAAGTTCCTCATTCCACCTGTGTCTGATAACACCGTGCTCACACTCACTCCTAAGCTGTATCTTCACGTCTGTAAACAATGCTGTATCTGGGTTACAGATCTGAACCAGGCAAACTTAAATTCAAGCCCTAAGCCAGAGATTTAGAAGACTGCCCTGCTGACTGTCAAAAAATACACCTGTGAAGAACACCAGACTAAGAGAGGTTATGGTAACTTCCATTGGGAATTTGTCCCCCCCCCCCAAAAAAAAGGATTGTCCTCTGTCCCCGGTGACAATAAAAATTAAATATTTTGTGCAGTCAATTATTTAACTGCCAGTGGGCAAGGCAGAAGAAGGAAAGCAACAGCAGTCTTTAAGAAACACATGAACAGCATTCTGCAACACGTTTATGAAGCATTTACACACACACACACAGAAAGGACAGGAAGGAGGCCAAGCACAACACTTTCACCAGCACAGTGGGCTCAGTCAGTAGGGCAAAGGATGGGGTTATCCCCTTTACTCTTTAGATCACATCTGGAACACAAAGTTCAGTTTTGAGACACTCAGTACAAGAAAGAACCAAAAATAAGCTGAAGTGAGAAGTAAAGTACAAGAAAGAAGTAAAGATAAACTGAAGTGAGAAGCAAAGATAAACTGAAATGAGTCCAGTGGAGGGGAACCAAGATGGGGCAAATAATCCAAGATAGTATAGATGGTCTGTCTCCAACAATGCCTAATACCAGGAACCAGTGGAAGCTTTTTTTATAGTCACCAGGTTTGGCACAAATCTTGCCTGGCCTACCCACCCAGCCCCCAGAAATCAGTGATTCAAGGGCTAGGAGCTTACCAAAGGTTTACACAGGAATATGGTTTTAAAGCTTTTCAAAGATGCCAGAATCTGAAAACTATCTAAAAACATATTCACAAGTTGCTATTCCTAGGGTTGAAAAACTTCCTTGATATTTAAGTACAAAAATTAGCAAGGTCAGGGAATTACTAAATATTTAAAAGACAAGGAAAATGTACTTTAGAGTTCATTGAAAGTGTCCTGGTTTTCCACGACAAACCACTAACTGTGTGGGCAAGTGCCTGGAAATTTAGGAGACTGCCACCACGGGAGCTGTCCACATCTTCTAAGCCACGCTGTGCAAAATCCACTGTTTACAAAAGGGAATATGAGGAAGAACTGGCACTTTCAAAGCAAACCTTCTATTTCTGCAATTAAAGGGTTTCATAAATTACACTCAATGAAATAGTTTTCTCTTAAAGGAGGAAGAGCCTTCTCCACAAGGACGCTGACCCCTGATGAAAGGGCAGACACTCACAAACAAACAAACAAATGATAAGCAGGCTGCAAAAAGCCCTTTATAAAACGGATACAACTTTTATATTTATCATTACTCATAGAGAATACCCTTAGGAAAAAATAAGTGGTATATTCACATATCCACGTACTCCGAGGATGAATGAACTGAGCTAAAGCACCTAAACTACCTAAAAGTACTTGAGGTGCGTTGATGCACACTACAGATGCACTTAGGGAGCAGTCAGTCAAAGGATCAGTGCATACAGATCAAACGGGTGAAATTAAGTAGTTCCCAATCCCATAAAGGTGCCAGTTCACGCCACAGGTGATAACACAGCGATAGCCACAGCAGCTCAGTCCGGGGAGGGACTCTCCTGACACTGAGAGCAGGCAGAGGCAGAGGCACAGCCTCGTACCAAGCTGAGCTCCTCGGAACGGGGCATTCCCACGCTGCAGCCGCGACAGAGCGCCCAGTCCGACACATCCCACAGCGGAGAGCCGCTCCTACACCCAACGCGTTAATGCAGCGAGCGCGGCTCCCAAACCCGAGCCCTGCCTCGCCTTTGCCGGGACAGCGAGGGCGGAGCGGGACGCGCTGCCCGGGGGGCTCCGGGCACGGCAACCAGCCCCTCCTTCCCGGGGAGCGGACCCTGCCTTGCCCCTTCCTCCTCCTCCTCCTCCCCACCCCGCCCTCCCCCCAGTCCCGGGAGCTGCGGGAGCCGCCGCGGGGTCACGGAGGGGAGCAGGGCCTGGCACGGGGGAGACAGGGAGGGAAGGAGGGAGGGGGGCAGCGCCGGGTCCCGGTCCCGCTCCCACCAACCTAGCACAGAGTCGAGGGAGGGCAGCCCGCTGGAGAGCAGCAGCTGCCCGTGCCGCAGCGCGGGCCGGGTGCCCGGCAGGCCGCCCGGGCGGGCTCCGGCCCCGGCGCGCCGCTGGAAGCTGGTGCGGCCCCGCGCCCCGCCGGCCGCCGCCATGTCGGGTGCGGGCAGCGCCGGCGGCCCCGGCCGGGCACTGCGGGAGGGCCCCGCGCGGCGCTCTGCGCCAATGGCAGCTCGGCTCCCGGCACCGGCAACCAATGGGAGGCCGCGGTGTTGGCGGGTGGCGGGCGGGAGGGGCGGCAGGGCTGAAGCGCCCGAGGCGAACGCGAGGTGAGAGGTGTGAAGGACGGGGCTGAGGGGTCTGAGGACGGCTGGGGAGTGTTGAGGGGACGGGGGCTGGGAGTGTTGAGGACGGCTGGGAGTGCTGAGGGGACGGGGCTGGAGTGTTGAGGGGACGGGACGTGGGCGTGTGAGGGGACGGGGCTGGGGTGAGGGGACGGGGCTGGGGGTGAGGGGACGGGGCTGAGGGTGAGGGGACGGGGCTGAGGGTGAGGGGACGGGGCTGAGGTGTGGAGGGGACGGGGGCTGAGGGGTGAGGGGACGGGGCTGAGGGGTGCGAGGGGACGGGGCTGAGGGGTGTGAGGGGACGGGCTGAGGGGAGGGGGCCGAGGGCGTGACGGGCCGGGGCCGACGGCTGGGGCGCGGTGCGGGTGCTGCGGGGGGTTCCCCCCCTTCTCCCGGGGGTGTCCGCGGGGCTGGGGGCGCAGCGGGGCGAGGAGACGGGCTGCGACACCCTTGAGGGTATCGTCCCCTTCGTAAAGGAGCCCGGGAGGAAGAAGCGCTTGTGAAACGTGTTTTAACGCTATTGCGTGTGAGGTGGGATGAGTGAGTACGGTCGAGGGTCCCCGGCGTGTTTGTAAACAGCCGCGGACACGTAAATAAACGCGCAGTTTAACACCGTAACTTGGCAGCCGAATTTCGCATCAGTGTGGTGGCCCCGCACCAAGAGCTGTGGTAGGAAAAGTTAAAGACATTAAAGTTTGTCTTCTGCTTTGTCAGTGAACGCTCTGTGTTGTAGTGCTCTGAATGTGAGAGAAATCCCTGTCGGTATAAAGGGTAGCCACTGTCACAAGTGTTCTTATATTTCTTCTTCGTCTGTTGGTGATTCAGGTGCGTCCCGAGCTGCTTGAAGGCATTTGTGCACAGCAGAATGTAAAAGTGAGGTTCTGGTATTATAATTCTTCGCTCTCACACTTTAATTTCAACGAACAGCTTTTGCTGCCATTGTAAGCCACGTTTTTGAACACCTGCGGTTCTGTTTATATTAATAAGGGGAAAAAAAAAAAGATAAATCCTCATGTGAAATATGAGCAGCTTGAAAGGGCAACAAATATGTGGGCAGTCCTGAACCTCAGAGTTTTTCCTTCATATCCAGTTGAAATGCAGGAGCATGAAGCTTTAGTATTATGATTTCCTAGTGAAATGGCATTCCTTGTGCTGCTGGCCAAGCTTCTTTACATATTAAGCAGTGATCAGTTTAAGATTTCTTGCCCTGAGTATCAATGGGTTGTCTTAATATTTTGTCTTAATGTCTTTGATAGTTTATTGTTCAGTGTGAGAAACATCTGCCTTTAGGGGAGAAGATCAAAGGGCACGTTTGAAAACATGGCAAGAGATAAAAATACCTATTAAATTTGACTCCTCTAATATCTGACTAATGGGGTTGTGAGTATCTGGAATAGGAAAGACTGACAAAAAATCCACTGAGGAACTTTGTTACAGAAGCTTCTAACCCCACGGGGATGTCTTTGCTAAAAGTCACTGCTGACCCATCCCAAAGGGAATCAAATGACTGACCACCTGTACTCTAGTCTCAGGGATGTTTTTCTTCCCCGTTCCACGCAGTTCAATTTCCCTTTGCTACTTTGGTGAAATACAAAGTATTTCCTTGCTTGTTTTTTTAAATAAAATAAATAAATAAAGTTGTATTAACTTTACAAGGCAGGTGTAAACATACACGCCCAGGGCTGAGCCCTCGCTTTGGTTCTTCCCTTTCTCATTGCAATTAAAGCCCATATAATGAAAGTAGTTTGCAAATGGGAGCTGCTTCTACCAGTGTTAGCATTTCTTGAATAAAGTGCAGGTTTACTGGAAGTCTCAGTGATTCAGGAGCTGATGTAGGAGGTCAATGTTGTAAAAAAGAAGTTGTTTCACTTCCTTTTCCTCCTCTTGTTTCCACTCCAGCAAACCCTGGTGCTTGTCAGGGCCTCTCTTGAGCTGATTCAGGTCACTAATCTGAGTTGGGACTATTGATTGGTCTTCTTAATAGTTTAATTTTATGTCGTCCTGCTGAGTTGATGCTTTATGGAAAAGGGCATAGACACACAGTGGGGGTGGGACCTTGCAGCTATTTCAGAATTTCACCTATTTTCAAACAAAGTGGTATTTTTGGTACAAAATTTTGTAACTTGACATCCTTCTAAAATACAGAGAAGCTGTGTCTTACAATGTAACTTGAAACAGGACAGACTGTTTCACATATTGTAAAAATAACAGAAAAGTAAAACCAGGTTTTTTTCAGTATAAGAAGCAAAGGTTTAAAATATGGCAGTAGTTCTGTTTGTGATGTTCACTTTTCCTCTGGCACTTTTTGACACGATGGGTACAGTTCAAGTCCTACTGCTTTAGAAAGCAGGTGGAAATAAGCTGGTTTTCCAAGTTGTTGTTTTGGTGTTTTTTTGGTGTTTTTTTTTTTTTTTTAAATTTTAACAGTTTGGTACAATAAAGCTGTACAACTTAATATTTGCTTATAAAAATACTGCTTACCACATCTGACTTTACCTGTATTTCATTTCAGACAAATAGAGAAGAAACTAATTTTATGGAGTTAGTTTAAGTATTTTTAAGTCAATGGCGTTTCATTTTCAGGAATAATAATAATAATAATAATAGCTTTCTCACTCTCTCTGAGTGATATTAAAAGTTTGCTTATATTCAGGTGTCCAGTTTCCAAAAGGTGAGTGAGAGGGCAGTCAGAACATTTGGGAAAAGGGCATGCTTGGAATTTGATCTGCAGGTATGTTTGGTGTTTCTCTTCAGAAGCTGTAGCCTGCAGAGCTGGTGAAAGTCCCCAAAACAGCGGCACTTGGAGTTGCTTTAGGTATTTGTGGTCGATCAGAGGGAGCATTCCTGCCATGGCCTCGCTGTTCACCACGTGCAGCCCACGTGGGCTGCCCTTGTAAACTCCTGGGACCTTCAATTATTGCCACCGCTGTTGTGATATTCCCAGCAAGCTGGTGCTGTTGATGCATGTGTTTTATTGTCTTTGATTGCAGTTTGATGATGGTTTTAATTGTGCCTTCCAAGATCCAGTGTGTGCTCTTGTCCTCCCGTGGCAATGAACAAAGTGCCGCTCCGTTTGGAATGAATCACATGGGCCCATTTTATTTCAAACCCTCTCAGTAATATTTTTCTGTTGGGTTTGTGTATGGGAGAGAGAACTAAAAACCACATCCCACGGCAGTTCTGATTCACAATCTTATTAAGTGTTTGCTGTTGCCTCTCCAAGCTGCTCCTCTCATCGCTTCTGGAATGTGATGGTATTAGACTGTACTGATTAAAGTTTTATAGTCCCCAAATCAGATTAGCTCTCGAGTCACCTGACCAGGCTGGGTTTGCAGTCATGTGATCCAGTGCCCTGCTGAGCTCCTGCTGGGAGCTGAAACAAGGTAGTTTGCTTTGGAGATGTTCTTAAGTATCGAACAGCATGGGGCGTGGATTATGGCTGCAAAGAAGATGGCTTCATTTTCCTGATCTTTGAACCAGCCAGAATGGGATAAGTTTGAAAGTGCGGGATCTTCAGGCCATGAGCCAACAACTGGAAAGAATGTTTAATCCTGGAAGCTCTGACACCAAAAGACCTGGGGTTTTTTTTCAGTATGAAAAAGCTTAAAGACTACTTATCCAGTCAGTCTGTGCAAAAAAAAAAAAAAGAAAAGGATTGCTGGGAGGGTTTAAGACTTACCAGTTGTATGATATTATATAAAATGTGATATGATTTTATTCAGAAAGCCTCTGGATGTTACCAAATGCATCCTTGTGGGTTGTACTGAACAACAGCAAAAAAGAATTAAAAAAATTTAAACCTGTGTCAAATTTAAACAGCTCTTTTACAATGGAAGTAAATTGGGAGCCATGGGTTAGAGTAGTAAGTGCTGAAGACAATAAATCATTTAAGAAGTTAGTTAATGTTTCTATAGCTTCAGATTATGAAATTGTACAGTATAATATTACCGAAACCTGCTGGCTTTCCCAAGTAGGGATATTGGCCAGTGGCTTCAAAACTGTACAACCCTCAGGTTTCACTGAGGACAAACTCCTGCAGAGTCACTGGAACATTCAGACATATCCAGTGGGCTTCCCTCTGGTTCCATGGGAGTGGGACCATCCACAGAGGGGGGGATGGACCAGGATGTGCTGCAGTCAGTAATCCCATAGAGCTGTGGAACTCTGCCTCTTACATTGGTAAGAGGAATAAAAATAAATCAACATTTAAAGTTTTAGAAGCTGAAACAGATTGAGAGAAACTTAAATATCATCAAGGTCCTAAAAATGACAGTACTGTAACTGGTGACTACAGAATAACTTACCACTGTGGTGTAAATGGATGCACCTGAGGTCGTGGTGATTGTTTCAAGGTCCTGTCTTGGTTCTGTATGAAAATAGTATTCATGTGTTATTTCACTGCAGTGGGAGAATAATTCATCTGAATTTTTAGTCTTAAGGCTCATTAGAACGTGGGTATGTCATCAGTAGCCATATTTTCATCATTTCTGTGATTCAGAGCTGTGACACTGTCCCTAGCAAAGGAAGAAAGGTAATTGAGCTTTTTTAGTCACAAACATTAAATTGTAGGAAGATCATCAGTCTTCTCAGCATGCACAAAGTGCCTGTGGAAGGAGCTGTGTGACCAGCCCCTGATTTTCCTTTTAGAAAAGCAGTGTATTAATGGAAGGAAGGGCAAGCCAAATTCTGTGCTTTTGGGACAAACCAAGTTAGTAAATTTGGATGAAATAACATCTGATCACTTACTAAAAACTTAAAGAGTTTTTAAGAAGGCAGTTCAGGGAGATACAATATTAGTGAGGTTATACAATTATTGTTTTCTGTACTGTTCTTCTGCTTTACAACTACTTGTGTCCTCATTTGAAATTTGAATTTGGGGTGGTAAAATAAGCCATAAAGGCCTTGCTTGGTGCTGTGTTTGGGGTCAGTGGCAGTGCAGTTTGTGGGGCTGGAGTGTGCTCAGTGCCTTGCAGGTTCTCTGCACCTCAGCATGTCATTGGAAAAAGGCACCTCTACCTATTTGATTCACTGAGTAGTCAGTGTAGTAGTAGTAGTCTCACTTATTGTTGTGTCAGCTCTATCTTTTACTTTAAACCATCAAATTAAATACCAGTTTGTGCCGGCTTTCTGTTTTAGTCCGTGCGTTTAAAACCTGGAACTCAGATAAAAAAGCTAAGTCTCAGAACAAATTCCATATATTATTTATGAGCGGGGCAACCACATTAGCACGGGGTTCACCGTAGATCATATCGCTTTCATTCCACCTTACAAGCTTAGCGGCACAAACAGAATAATCAACATATTCTTTGGCTGTCATCTGCTGCACAGAGAGCAGAGATCACAGGGAGGTTTTTCCCTCGCTGCAGCGATGGCCTTTTTTGTTCCAAGCCCCCATCTGGGAGGGCCGTGGTGTGTTATCATATGGAGCGCGGGGTTTGCTGTAATCTGCTTAGCTGCGCCGCAGTTCGGATCTCTATTCCATGTTTGTGTAATTTATAATTTTAATGAGACCACGGCTCTTGTGGGCTTTGAAATATATTAAAAGCTCTTTTGTGCATATGCTTTTGTTCTTGCTTAATAGGCTCAGTGTATTTAAAACTGATGAATTTTTATTCATGGATTTGGATGTCTGGGGATTAACTTAGACTGAATATCATTGCACTCATCTATTTGATGGTTCGAACTTTTTTTATACTTGTATCTTGCAAGTGGAGAAGACCCTACAGAACTTGTGTTTTAAACCAGCTCAGAAATAACTAATAAAATTTTACTAGGCAACGAGAAAAAGTCCTGATTACAGTTTATTTTTACTGCATAAACTCACATGAAATACAATTCTGCTCTGAAAAAAAGTACTTGAATCCATGTATGTGTGTGTATTTAGAACTTTGTAACTAAAAGCACTCTGGGAAAGCCATCAAAATTTTGGTAGAGTAATAGTAGTGACAGGCACTTGATTTGCATTTTTCTTCAGGTGATGTGAAAATGTAAATACTGAGCACCTTTTTTTCTGACTGTTGGCTTTCTCCTGTTTTTTAACAGAATTATTAACATAGAGTGTACATAAGGTATTTCATTAGAAGGTGGTGCTCGAAACTGGGAGTTATTGATGAACATACAGAGGATTCTTCGTTACTGTTACATTTTCTGACAGTGCTAAATCTATTCTTGTTTTTTGCTTTTGTATTTTTTCAAATGTTTTATGGTTTTCCTATAGTTTAATTATCTGCCAGCTTTGATTTAGTGTTTAAGATCCCATACTGTGTGACTTCTGTGTTCGCAAACCACTGTGGAGTCCTCTGCAATGATGCCATTCTGTCTGACCCCAGCACTGGGGATAAGGTTGAGACAGTTGTTTCTTTCTAACCAGCCCTCCTGATGGTGTCTCTGATGTTTTTTTACAGTCAAACAAGAGGGGGAATTACTTACCCCTCTTTTATTCCCTGTTCTTAGTAGTATTCCCAAAAATACCTTCATGTTTCTTCAAGGTGTGTCAGCACTGGAAGTGCAGAGGACGTGTGAGCCAAGGGCAACGTCGGGTTCTGTAGGGCTGTAGATTTTAAGTGCCTAATGTGAAAACTGGACTTGTAACTCCTTGTCTTATTAAACTGAATGAATTTTCAAAGGCTGCAAGTCTGTGTCTCAACAAAGTGAATATATTGAAGTTTAAGATGAACAAGTGTAGCTCAGAATACAGTTATTTGACCCCTGTGACACAGGCATGGGATATTTTCTCAGTTACCAGGAGGGTGTCTGTGATGTCTGTCAGACCTTTGGTGTTCGTCCTAACTTTGACATTGTTACAGAAAACTGTAAATTGAATGTTCCATCATCCCGGAGAGGCTCAGACCTGCCGTGTGTGACCACGCCTTTGCTCAGCTCTCTGGATTTGTTGTTCAGCAAAGATGGGTGTGTGGAGCTCCAGAGGAAGAGAGAAGCCCTGGGATGCATCTGGCCACTAACACAGCGTTTTATACAGGGGTTGGGGGATTGTTAGGAGTTGCTTCCCAAAGGTAAATAGAACCAGTGAGAACTGCTTGAAATCCGCTTTGAAAAATTGCTCATTCTTACGTAGGCACTGTCTGGTTATTTAACACCAGAGAATTGTGCTATGGAAATTCACATTTACAGGATTGAACTCCTTGTCAGTAGATGGAGGAGCACTTGATGGAGACAAACTGTTAGTGCCTAGTAGAGATAATGTGTGAAAATAATCTCTCCCAGAATATCAGCAAGCTTTTGCAGATTTGCCAGACCTAATCCAGCGTTTCCTCTAGAGTAACGCAACAGCTGGAAATACAAAGCAAGTTCTGTCTGATCTTCAGCACTGAAAGACCTCTTGAAAATTATTCCTTCTTTTGCTTTGATGTTTGGAATCCTCAGATTGTAATTAGAATGTTGTATTTATTATGTGTCTGATATGGGAAGAATCCTGATAAACAATATATCCATCCGTCACTATTCTAGCACCTAGAACATTAATTTCATGCAGAAGTTTTAAAATAATAGTTTAATGTAAACAACAGCTCAAACATAAATATTTGAAAGGCCCAGTCAGTGTGCAGTTTTTTTCTTTGGTTTGGGTTTTTGCATTTTTTTTTAAAAGTAATAATCTCAGAGTAACTCAGTGAGAAAGAGATGGTGCGAGTTATGGGATTGCCTGGTGTAGAGAAAGGTGTCTGGTAAGAAGTGGAGAATGTTAGGAGGAGAGTTTGTTATCTAAGGAAAAACTGATAAACTGTCACTAAATATGCAGTGAAATTCCAGAATTGGGAAGTGTTACATAAAGCAAATGTGACTGGACATTTTTTATGAAAGGGAAAAATCCATTTAGTATCAAGTCCAAGAATTTGTTTAACCGCACTTCCAGTGCCTGCAACTTCGATTTTCCTGTATTTAAAAATTTGGCACCATATGTTAAACTGCCTTACACAGTGCCACTGGTTTTCTGGAAATGATAAATCTGCTCATTGATTTCCTAATTTTATTATGTACACAGTTCATTGTAATCCAAGATTACAGCAAACAAGATGGTAATTTCTGGACAACCTGCGTGCGTTTCCCTCGGAGCGTGAGCGTCACAGAAGCAAAGAGTACAAAGAGAATACCATTTGTGCTATCCTCACAGGAGCTGTCAATAAAAGATGTAATAGGGGATTTAGGAATCTGGAAATGGCCAACTAATTTATGTGAATCTATTTTATTTCAGCTAGAAAGCCCGAGCTCTGTTTCGTCTGCACTGCATATTGCAGAGCACAGGCTGTCTATAGAAAACCAGGCGGCTGCATATGGATAGTCCCTTGATATCATTCACTTGCTGTGTAATCTTATTATGCAAAGTTCTAATCTTCACCTAGAATGAATGCCTCTGGGTCAGAATATAGTCATATCAGGGTTTTTGAGGTCATGTTTTGTGATCCTTAGCTTATTCTTCTAAGTAGAGCTGGGATTTAAAGAGTATTCCCCAGACACTAGCAGAGATAGGCGGCAAAACCTGCTGCCTTTTTGGAAGACAAGACCAACATGAGGTCCCTGGTAGGATTAAACTTGATTTGTAGCTGTAGGATTTTTTAACAGATGTATTATTGGACAGGGAATAGGGGGCCACCAGCACAGCGAAATTGGATCACGATTGGCATTCTCAGGGAGTCCGCTGGCTGCTAAAACAGCAGCTGCATGTGGATTTGACTTCTTTCAGGTGAAGCGACTTCCAGTCATTTGGAAAGGATGGGATGAAAAGGAACCTTGGTGATAATTTTGATGTCTGCAAGATTTAGTACCAATGTAATGGGATTATCGGTAACACCTTCACTGCAGAAAAAGCCACCTGGCGCTATAACTGGCAGCGACTGAGAACTAATCCTTTCCCATCTCTTGGATGTCATTCATGAGGCTCAAAGTGATTTCTGCCCTGCTAACTGTGATTAATTTTATAAACAAACAAACAAAAAAACCAAATGATGAAAGCACGGGCTATGTAAGGGAAAAGGGAACAGAAGACAATAGTAATTGCATTTTGCATTTTATTTGCTGCGGGGGATAAACTATACTGTTCTAATAAAATAACCAAATTGTGTTCTCTGTGATAAATATGGAGTGTAATCTTTTTTTAATCAATGTCTATGTTCAGCATAAAACCAGTATCTCTTCCAGTATAAATTTTTCAGCTACCTGCTATAGGATAGTAGGTAGTACCTGGAAGTAATTACAATAGGTTTTAGGTCACTAGTTCTGTGATAAGGATGTTTATCCAACTGATCCATTAAGTTTTCAAGGGGCCTGTGACTTAAATAATTTGTTTTATTGTGCTTAATGGTCTTATGCTCAATCTGGTGGAGTTGCCTGCTGATGGCACTTTGTGTGAAAACTGTGATGTGGAAAAACGTTCAGCTGTTTTCCTTCTTGTGGTCAAACAGTATGGTACTGTTTCAAAAATGGACTGATACAAAGTTTGCAGAGGAAACAGTTATATTTTCATGATGCTTAAGATAATTTTTTGGGGGTATTTTTGGTTTTTTTTTTTTTAATAAACTAGTTTGTTGTGGTGGGTTTTTTTTACTGGGCTTTCTCTTGCTGCAACATTCACTTATTAACTAGAAGCCGTTACTTAAAACTCCAGGGAAGCTTTCAGGATTGTAGTTATTCTGTGGAATGACGTCTGAAGATGAACCTTAACATTCAAAACACCCTCCCATCCTCTGCAGTTACCTTGTCAGGGTCAGACTGTATGTAATTATGTATATACGTGCCTCAATTTGAAATTAACTTTCTCGAGTAGTGATCAAAAGCCTTACATAAAAGCTGAGAATTTTTTATCATTGAAATGAAATCTGATAAGCCTGAACATTTAAAAAAAAACCCCCTTTGTACCACATTTACAAACGGACAAAATTCCTTTTTACCTGTAATATCCACAGGTGCCTGAACTCTGTACAGTTTCAGTTTGTGAATATAAGGTTTCTGAGTAGCTTGGAGCAAAAATACAGGATGGCTGTGCAGTATTTCTGTGTCTGAACTGAGAAGCAGTGTGGGGCTGCCTCTCTAGCACCTGCTGTTAGGAAGTATCGATGATGGACTTCTCTCAAAGCATAGCTGTGGTCATAAATTCACACTGGTTGTGCAATTCCAATTGATCTGCTGTCACTCCACCTTCCTTTTCTCACCTGTAACATGTTTCTAGTAAGAGTTATGCAAATAAAGCTGTGCCCTTTTAAATTCCTGTCTTTGATTAGTGAAACGTCATGAAATATAGAAGGGGATGTCTTTACTTCATTATTAAATGGAGCATATTGCCACCAGAATTATCAGATATCCTAACTTTTTCTAGGATAGCCTTACTCAGGCGAGCCATTCAAGACTCCATTATCCTTACTTTGTCTAGTTCTTCAAGCTTTTTTTCACCGGATTGATTTTCAGGTTGGTTTTGTTGACTGTTTGATTACTCCAGTTTTCTGTGAATGTAGTTTCAGTTGCTTGAGTCGCTTCAGGTGGTTTGGTGCTTTAAAAAAACCAGCAATCTAAGTTTCACTGTCTTCACATGATTAAAACAACTCCATGAGGTGTTATTTAACAAATAACTGCATCTGAGTCACAATATACCCAGCTGAATGTACCAAGCTGGTGAGAGGGGTCCGTCGACTCTTCCTGTGGAAGGGCGCGCGTGGCAAATGAAAAACCTCTTGATGGCACTTGAGCTTCGGCTGCATTCACCTCTTCAGATACATCTGATCATCTGCTGGTGTTATTACACTGTTCTCTCGATGCTCCTGTTCGATGCACGAGGTGGGTCTGTAAATGTCCAGATGGCTCGTCCCCAGGTGACTGACGCTGCTCTGGTCCCCCGCAGGCCGGGCCCAGCTGACCGGCGGGACGCTGGAGGATGCTCCGCGATGCCCTAGGGAGAACCTGCCGCTTCCTGGGCTACACTGTGCAGTATGGCTGCATAGCACACTGTGCCTTCGAGTACCTCGGAGGGATTGTCGTGGTAACATTTCATTTTCCTGACGTTTTGAAGAAAATGAAGCTGTGAGACTGGAATTGTTTTATGCGAGCGTGTTGGTATTTCACGTTTCTCAGTTCTCTTGGAAGCAGTTTCAGGGCGTGATTAGTAAATGCCTGTTTTTTTGGGGGTCAGGTCCAGCCCTTATGAAAGTTATTTCTACTTTAGGCGTTCATATTTCTTGATGCCTTATTGCTTGAGCCATCACTGAAGGAAAGGGGAAACTATCGTTAAGCATTTTGCAGAGAGTACATCCTGTAAGAAAGACTGGAGCCACCGACGGGAAATGCTCTTGTTTCCAACTCTGGCCACATTTCTGGGTGTTTTGTGCTTCTTCCCCCTTCTCCCCAAGCCCTTTTCCAGCAGATGCTGCTGCTGGTCACAGCTGTGAGCTGCTCTTGCAGCCTCTGTGATGATTCTGTTCTACAGAGGCTGAAGGAAGGGGTAGCCAGGCAGAGCTTTGAGTGCTGCTCCTCGTAATTTCTTAGAGATTTAGGTGCTGAAATGAATCCGTAGGGACCTGTGGCACCCAGCACAGTTCAGGACCAACCCCAAGCAGATGTGGAGCTGTGACACAGTTAGAGGTGCTCAGCTTTTAGATGTATCACACTCCTTGGAGGATCTCAATTTTCAGTTGTTCTCTACATTATCTTTTTCGAATTTATTAGCAAATAATTTAAATATTAATGTATTCCGGATAAAAATAATTTGCAATAGTAATCTTATTCTCATTCATTTCTGATTTTCAGTGTTCTGGACCTTCAATGGAACCAACCATTCAAAATTCTGATATTGTGTTTTCGGAGAACCTGAGCCGCCACTTTTACTGCATCCGAAAGTACGCTCCTGGATTTTACATCCCCTTTGCCAGAGCCTGCCAGTAACCACCTTCCATCTGCCCTTTACTTTTCCTTTATTTTTGTGCTTCTGAATGGTAACTTGTGTTTGATGGAGGTTAAAGTTATCAGCACATACAGCCCATCAAACAGCTTGTCAGAATTAATTTAGGATAAAATCTATGTCACTTTTACACCTCTGTCCAAAAAATGGAGAAAATCCTTTCCCTCCCCCCCAAGTGGTTCTATTGTGGGACTGTAACTTCTCCTCCAAGCATTTTTGTCTCACTTGAGAAGCAAGCTATAGGTATTACTGTCCTTAGGTTGTAGTCTTAAATGTTTCATAAACAATCTAAGTTAACAAAAAGTCGCTTTTAGAACTCTGTGTAAAATTACACCCTGAGTAAAACCGAAGAAACCTAAATTTTAGACAAGAATTTTAAGCAGAAGGGAACATATTTGCCTGGATGTGTTTGGAACATACACACTGATGCTCTTGTACTCAGCCAAACAGTTTGTACTTAAGAGTTGTTCCGTTTGTTTCTGTTTTTTTTTTCATCTCAGAGGAGATATTGTGATTGTGAAAAGCCCAAATGACCCCAAATCAAATATCTGTAAAAGAGTAATTGGCTTGGAAGGGGATAAAGTCTGCACAAGCAACCCTTCAGATTTCCTCAAGAGTCACAGCTATGTAAGTATTAGAGTTTCTTGCTTTGTAAATTAATGATTACTTAAGTAGGCCTGGTAGTCTGCAAAGGATTTGCAATATTTGAGTATCGTCATAAATCATAAATGATGACATTCATAAATTATTATTTCTTCTTGTGTATGTACAGTAAAATGTTGTCATTTTAAACTCTGTGTATGGCAAGCTGCCTCTCTCCGTGCCTTTTGTCTCTGTAGGAAGTGTGGGCAGGTAATCTTTTTGCTCTGCCCTTTGCTTAGGTCTTCTTCCCTGGAAGAATACTCTGAAATTCTCTGCATAAAGTGCAGTGCAGGTGGCAGACTCAAGGGCTTGTTCTTCAGGCATAACTGTTCATGTATTTTAAGTGCTAAGAAGTGAATATTTGCCTCTGCAATAGCTGTGGGATTTTTTTCAAAATCACACTTTGGTGTATGTCTCTGTATTTCAATGTAATAATATTTTAGTTTTCCCCAGTATGGTTGGAAAAGCAGTAATTTTTTTAACTTGTCCAAAAAGTTTCATCTTGTTTCCTAACAAGATGAAATTAAAAGGGGGAAATAACCTTAAAGCTCACTTGTCCTTCTGCAGATACACCTCACAGAAGCTTGGAAAGAGCTGTGACAAGTGTTTTCAGCAACTTCTTTTTAGGCTGTCGTTAGAAAAATCATCAGGAATCATGATCACAGAAAAATGTGAACCCTTTAAAAAGGGTTTTTCTTGTCCCAAAAGTGTGTTTGACCATTACCTCTGTTCAGCAGCTTGTGGAGCCAGCAGATGAACATTTAGTTTTTCCATAAATCAAACTGTGTTAACTGTTTAACCAAGGAAAAATCTACAAAAAACCCCAAAGGGCACCAAGCCACCTTTCTTACCAAGCTGAAGAAATTCTCTGGCTCTGATGGAGCTGGTCATTGCAATGAAATATGAAATTCCCAGAGCAGACCAACCTGAAATGGAAACCTGAACTGAATTCTCTGTACGACTGACAGAAGACACAAACTGAGTTTCTCTGAGCATCTTGTTCTTCACTTGTCTTTGTCCTGAGAAGGAAGTTCGGGAAAGATTGGTACTAAACAGGATGTCAGCTTTTCTGGAAGCCCTGGAGTAACCAGATGAATATCCAGCACAGCAATTTCTGCCCTGGGTGTGAGATTCCTCATCTCCAGTTTTAAGCCATAATGTAGGGAGAAGGAGTGGATGGGGAATGCAGAGTCCATTTCCTGCTTTCATACAAGCTAATGTATGGAAATACAGCAGAGCTTTTGTAATTCTTCCATCATAAATTGTATCCATGGGGGGAGAAAGGATCTAAATGGAAATGCTTTCATTGTTGCTGCATATCTGTTTTCCTCCTGTGTTTAGTGGTTGAAAAGGTAGATCTTCCCATCTGTTCAGGAGACACTTCCTTTACAGAAGAGCATATTCTCAACATAGATATCTGCACTTTATGTTCATAGCTTAGGCTGAATTATTCACTAATTGTTCTTGTTGGGGAGGGGGAAAGATATGTGTCTGTGTTTAGGCAATTACCTGATCACATTCCTTATTTTAGTGAATCGCTGTGCTGGGCACTTTGAATTCAAACACAAGAATTCCTCAAAGCAAATAACAGCAGCAGATGCACAGAGAACTGGCTGTTTGTTTTGTTGGTTCTTGCCTGAGTCAGGTTTTTGAAAAAAAGGATTGCCCAATCTGAGGAGAGGCCTCAGCTAGGATTCCAAATGGCCAGGAGTGCTGCCTGGTGCCACTGCAGCAAAGCCTAGGAAGTGTCATGAGTTTTGTTGTTCTTATTTGGCTACTAACTGCTTTTTTTTTTTTTTCCCAAATGAGAAATGTCCAAGTGGAGTGTGAATGCTGTGACTCCAAAGTGTGTGAGGTCAGAGGATTCCTTGTTTTTATTACTGTGAGCTGCTCAGCTTTCCTTGACTGCTTGTCTCCTTTTTTTTGGGTAGTGGTGGTGAATGGTTACTGTCATGTCTGTCAGACCCATTACAGTAAACATGAAGCATCAGGTGGCAGAAATATTACCAATTTAGGCAGCTCAAACCTCTTGCCTCATTCTGTGCTGGTGTTTGGTCAGGTTTGGAGGTTTTTGGTGGTGGGTAGGTTTTATGGTGGAATAATGTCAGAGCAATGTACTCAATGCAGCTGAGGGTGAAATGCTCTCTGTAAAATTACACAGATGGGATATTTTTTGCTGCAAACAACCTGTAGATTGAAAACAAACAAACAAACAACAGAACAACCTAACACAACAAACCAACCTTCCAGGCTATAATAAAAATGAAACAAAATCATACATGAGTTGAATAAGTTGTCCTGAAAAGAGGTATTTCAGTTCGAGTAGAAATGCAGTATAGCAGTGGTGATTATGTGAAGGTCTTAACAGTGGTATGAAAAACACTTTTGCTGCTATTCTTAACTGAAGTTGTTATATAAAACTCATTAGTATAAATTAGCCATGTGCCTAAATTACAGTTTAGGCACATAAGAAATGTCTTCTCCTTGGACTCTTTATGGTGCAGGATGCTTCATATGCTAGAGGTTGCACTTTGGCTGTGGAATAATAATGGGGGAAATCTTTCTCTTTGCATGAAAAGTATAATGCAATTCCTTTTCTGATTAAGCTGCTATAGTATTACACAGTTAAGAAAACGTAGTTGTCCTTTTTGCTGATGTCTGGTATGCAATGTGAGCATTAGGCTGGCAGCTTTGCTGGGCTCTTTTGGTTTTTATAAACATTTATAAATACAGGCAAGTGTGTTTGCTGTAATAAACATTTAAGAATGCCTAATGTATTTTTACTATATCAGAAGCAATGTGATAGAACCCAAAAGTTAAAAAGGTTCACAACTCATTTTTAGGAATGAGGTATTCAGACCTAGTTTCAATTATTAAAAGATATCTTTACTGATTTGTTAATTTAACAGTAAGAACTAAATAATGAGGATTAATAAGGAAACTAATACAGGAAACCCCTGAAATGGTATTTAAAAACCCCAAACCAACAGCTGAAAGGTTATTTTTCATATTTAGCCTTTTATCTCCTGTTTTGAAAAGTCTTAATACAGATCCAGGTTTATAATTCAGACCAAGTATCCTATTGTTATATTTGAATTTGTTTTAATGCCATTTACTTTAGCTTTAATTTCTTTAGTGCCATATGTTCTTGTGCTGCAGCTCCTATTTACAAGCTGAAAAAGTGAGGGGGAAGCCATCAGATTAAAACAGCTTGTATGTCATAAACCACCAATATGCTCAGCCTTTGTGTCACTTAAACAAAAGTAGTCCCTAATAATGTCACTTAATAGAGCCGGAGTCTGTAAATAAGGAACTGCCTTTTGCAAGTCCTGGTGATAAAAAGCCGTGATACAAATCCATATCTCAGCAACCCTGTGCTGGTGATCAATCACAGCTCAGCACTAATGCTGGCAGAGGGGCTGAGGGGGGGTGTGTTTACCTTGTGCTAAAAGGAGGCTCATTGCGGAGATGGCATCCCTGCATCCTGTGCTGTGCTCCAGAGCTAACACCGCTCCCAGGATAATGCATCTCCCCGTGTTTGCACATCACACCAGTGCTCCTGCACGGCACTGTTCGCTCTTCCACAGTCCTTGTCACGTGCTGTGAGAATACTGCGTGGGTACTGAGGATAACACCGTGCAAACACCACACCATCATCACTGCTAGAGAGTTCTGCAGGTTTGGGTACACCGAGAAGGGAGTTCGTATTTTAGGGCACTCAGTCCCTTTAAAATATCCTGACTAGCAGTTAAAAATAAACTTACCAAAACTCTAGTTCTTTTTGCTTTGTTCTGAGTATCTTAATAGCTGATTTACCCTCATGATTTAGTACGTCAGTAAAGTCAGTTTTAATTGTTGCTGATCAGGAGATGGAGTAAGAAATTTCCTTTTTCCTTCTCCTTAGTTCTAGTGTTCCAGAGGCCTGAGAGAAAGTTATGCCATAATTTTAACCAGTGGCTGTGCTAAATGTCTGGTGGGAGAGGAGGACTGATTTGCAATATTTGTTTGGTTTGCAGAACCTGTCCAGTTTGCAGATCACTCCATATCCCAGCAGAGAGTTCATGACTCAAGCTAATCTTGAAATGCCCGAGAAGTAATTAAAGATCGAAACTCTGATTTGTCAAAACTAAATTACTGAAGGGAAAAGAAACACAAAGAATTTTACCAACCTACTTCCCAATATTTCCAGGGCTGCTTCTGTGCTCTTCTTCTGTGGATTGGCCTTTGCACCTTTGCAGTTTTGGTTTTGGTATTTCAAGAGCACCCGAGTAGCAGGGCTTGGGTTCAGTGTGTGCTCAGGAGGAGGGCAGTGCCTGCACCATGGCCTGGGCACGGGGCAGCAGAGAGAGGCTCCTCAGAGAGCGAGCCCTCCCCGAGGTCTCTCACATCCTTCTCCAACAGCTCTTTCTCCCCCAGTCGGAGCCAAGAGGAGGCAGCTGCACTATCAGCTGGTCTTGAGTGCAGGCCAAGTGCAGCTCTGACACTGCCCCGCTGCTTCCGTGCAGCCACTTCATGCCTGAACCAAAACCTCAGAGAAATGCCCTCCCTGATTGTGAGGGACAATCGTTCCAAGTGACTCCTTTCTGACTTTCTAGCACTAGATGTGTTTGCTCTATGGAAATGCAGAGTACAGCTTTGTCTGTGCTGGTCAGATCGGTTTGAACCTTTGGGATTTCATGATCCTCCGCTCAGAGTTCAGGAATAACTTTTCAGGAGCTGCTCAGGATGATGAAACCAACCAGGGAGTTCCACTTGGGGTTTGAACCCACTGGGTTGGTTTTTTTTATTGTTCTCAAACCTGTGTTTTGGGTGACCCTGTTACATCATCTGGTTTCTGGAGAAGAAAAGAATCAAATCCTTCCTAATTATTGCTGTGAGAAAGGTCTGTGCAAACTGCTAAGTAATCTTTGCTGGATCTGCAATCAATGTTTTCTTCCAAAATACTGCTCTTCTGTAAATCTAGAAAGCTAATTAATAGTCTGGAGTGATGAATCACTGACGTATTCTGATTTTTTTTCAGGAGTTCCTAAATGTAGCTAGATTCATAATTCCCATTTAGAGTTGCAGCTAGAGATTTTAAAAAATCAGATATGTAGCTTTTCAGGCTGATTCAGACCTGTGTGTTTAACAGTATGGTTTAGATCATATGAGAATACTTATGGAAGTAAAGTAAACAAAGCTTGCAAGTGTTCGAATTATTAAATTCCAGTATTTCAGCCTTTAAGTGATACACAGAAGATGTGGATTTGACATGTGTTTTAAGTTCCAGTGTGGGTGCTACAATTCCGTAGCTTTTTCAGCACAAAAAAGTAAATGTAAATGCTTGTGCTGGTTTTGCAAATGCTAATTAATGTTGTTGGGTTTTGTACAGATGGCAACCTTAATATGAACAACATTTATGATAAGCCTACAGAAACAGTGCCTAGAGCAACTGGATCATTAAAAAAAGGATTTGTTAAGCATTATTCAGTCTTGGTCCTGAATTAATAAATAAAGGATTAAGGAGTAGTTATGTGAGACTTTAAGTATAGAGCGATAAAACAAACTCCCGCATTTCTATGGTGTATATTTTATCCTAACTAGATGCAATTTACTTAAATAAGGCAATTTAATCAGTAGTTAGTAAATTTGTCATTCGATATTGTAGAATCTTTCATCATATTTCACTTTAATCAAGAAAGGTAACACCTGTGGTTTATTCACAAAAGCTCCTTTTGTTCAGTGAACACCCGCAGGCCACGAAGCAATTACATTTGTTGCTCGTACCAAAGTAGGAGGCACTTAAATAGACCTTAGCAGGGATAGATGAGAACTTGCAGTCTTGATTCTTTTGTCCAGCACCGAGATTAGTTCTTATCGTAGCTCAAGAAGGAAGCCTCTGAACTGAAAAGAAAAGATGGCAGTGATTTAAAAGTTCTTCTTAAGTTTGAAACTTTGATATTGCTGGAGGTGATGGGAATACCTGTGACCTCAGGGAAGTTCAAGCTTCGTCTGCTCCCAGCTGACTGTACGTGCCGATGGGCTTTGAGGTCGCGAGGGATTTGTGTTTATACGGCCCCTAAAATCACAAACAAAAACTGCACCCAAACAAAAAACCCAAACCACAGGAGCCTGGTTGCATTTGCTTGGGTTTGGGGGTGTTCTTGAGGCAGACAATTCAATCTGTTAATTTTATTTGCAGTTTTCTGGTATGCCGGTTAATGCGGCGCAGGGCTCTTATCTTTTGAGGACAGTGAGAGCAATCAAAAGAAAAAAAGTTTGGTGTCACTAAAAGCTACCAGAAGAGTATAATTATTTGCTGATCCCACTTCCCCATGTCTTTAATGTTTTATGCCAGTAGGTTTGCATCAGATACCTGCCCTGTTACTTCAGTCTTGCCACTTTAACTGCGCCACTGAGTAAATGGCCACAGCTCTGCAAATTTAGCCGGAATGTCCCAGTGAAAGGTGTTTATTTATCTGAGGTGAAAGAGAATTGAGCTCCTCCTTCAAGCTCAGTTGTTCTCAGGGATACTCTTGCCCTCCTGGTCTGTCTGCTCCTGAGCTGGAGCCTGGGAAGCGAGAAGGGGAGAGTCGTGCCTGATGGTGTCCTTTATTCCCACACGTATAAGCTGCCCCGCAGACAACCGGTTCTGCCTGAGAACTGCTGCTCCTTGGAAATAAATCCCCGGATAATCTGCACAAAACCAGAGGCACGGGGGTTGCCGAGGCAAAGGGAGGAGCCTGCAGACAATCAGAGGTGGCTTTTTGCACAAACCTGCCCTGCTGAGGAGTTGCTGGTTCCTCGTGTGACCCACCACTCTCGTGAGGCCTGGGAGACTCACAGGGCAGTTCTGGCCTGTGTGTGTGTGGAGAACAGAAACACTGCCCAGCCCAAGTTAATGCTTTTGCCATTTCCCATTTGCCGCTGTGTTTTTGTATCCACAGTCCCTCTGTGTGCAGTAGTGGCAACTGTGATTTCAGCTGTACTCCTTGGATACATTTGAATTGGTCTAAGAGGTCCGAGTCCTGTGGATACCAAAACGCAACGCTGTGAATTGTCACACAAGCGGCTTTCCCTTGGCTCTGGGTTTTTTGCAGCAGCAGCAGCCTATTGGTGTGTAATTAATGTACTCTCACTAAAAAACCAGGTTTTCAACAGTTCATTTTTTTCCTTTGGTTAATGTATCTGATTCCAGCTAGGCTTGCACAGCTTTGCAGTGTTTCAGGTTGGCTCCTGATCCTGCAGAGGTTGATACTCGAACTGAACTTTATTCAGTGTGAGTAATCCCACTGAGGTCGCTGATGTGGTTATGGCCTGTCACTGGTATTTGGTTTTACATTTTCAAGTCATTCTTGTGATTTTTGTTGCTTGTCTTAATTCTAGGTTGCAGTGAAGGGCCTAGATGGTGGCCAGACACCACACAGAGGTATTACAGTGCATCTAGATGGATCATACATTGTGACAGGAACGATAAATTCGGAGGTACAGGGGCCTGTCATACCCTCCATGGAGAAAAAGTTACCTTTAGTGGTGAATTTCAGGATGTAGGAAGATGCTTCACTGCAGATGTTCCACCTGGAATGCAAACTGTGAACATCTTGTGTAGACAAGTAATTATTCCTAGTGTTGGAAGGAGTGTTATGCCATCACTGGCAAAAGCAATTTATTGTATTTTTCATACTTCTGGAGCATGGAATAAAAACGGGAAGTGTTCTAGGAAGTGTTTGGATATACCTGAGTTATGAGTGGGTCTTTATTTCAAGTAATAAAAGATGAGCTTCCCATTCTGCCTTTGAATTTGGGGAAGTGAGGAAGCAGAGGAAGCAGCAGGGCTGGGAGTGGAACAGGAGCGCATTCCAGGTGATGCTTTTTCAGTAACAAGGAACGTTAACCTTGGTTTGCCTTTTGTATTTAACGAAAAAACCTCCTCCTACCATAGCAATTCCTGCTTCTCCTGCGGGTGTATTTGCTGGGATAGCCTTTCCCAGTGACTGGAGCTGGATGGATGGCTTGTGATTCCAGTAGATGCTGGACCAGGAGTTTGCAGCAGAAGGGTCAGGACACTGCTCTGTACTGTGGTGTGCACCTGAAAAACAAACTCATGTAAGGTGTGGACACAGGGTGGGGACACTGCAAAGAAGATGAATATCCAACTAACCTGCTGGCATCCTAAATAGGCTCTGTGTGTGCCATGGAATTTTGGAGGAAAATAGGAGTCAGTACATCCTCAAACAGAGACCTTTCAAAAATATATGTCCACGTGTGAGGAGCTGTGTATTCCACACAGTTCCTTTGGCTCTGGGTAGAGTCTTTTTAAATTTTATTTATTTTAAATTGACTTCTGGTTGGTTTATTTGTTTGCAAATCTGCTTGGGTGGCAGGAGGGCCAAAGTCAGGAAGCTGAAACCGGCTGGTCTTCCCAGAGGAAGGCCTTCCATGCACGTGCCAGCGATCTGATAAGCCTACAAAATAACAAAGGTGACAGGACAAGCTGAATCTGGAATTCCTGGATGGAAGGAGCGGGAGAACAAGAAGTAAAGGAGCTTGACTGAACCAGCAGATCAGTTTAAAACAAAGGAGGTGGCCTTCCTTTATCCAGGACATTCTGCAAGGAGACCAGTAGGTTTCAAAAGGATTTAGACATATCGCTGGTCTGCAGCTCCACTGTAGATTCTGCAACAAGGAGGGAAGGGTTTGTGCCCTCTGACATTTTGTTTAGTCTCTTCTCCACGAATTCTCTCTGTGTAGACTATTGTATGTATGAGCCTGTGTGGCTTAATTGCAAAACATTCATGTTTATACTGCTCAAACTCTGAGTTCCATTTGAGATAATCTGTTTATTTATTTAGCTAGTTTCTGTATTTTTTCTCTCTGAATTGTGGTATTAATAATGTTTCAAGTTTGGTTTTGGAAAAATGTATGTTAGTTTAAAGTCCGTGTTAAATATTATCTAGATTATGTTGCTGCTTTTGAATTTTCAGCCTGGTTTAGAATTTTAGAAACAAAACCCAATTAGGATTATTAAGGATTTTATTTGGTAACTTATAAGAGGTTATTTGTATCTGAAATGTTTTCAAGAAAACATGACGTGTTTTCCCTTCCAAGCAGAAATCTCAGTTTAAGACTTACAGGAGCAACTTTTTTCATACATGAAAGCTTTACACTCTCATTTAGGTGACTAATACAGCTCTGTTGCTATTTCTCATTTTGTCATTGAGTCAGCCAGTGAATGCCATGAATCCATGGTATGTAATATAGTTAATGCATAATATATATGGGCAATGAAAGGTCTTTGTCATATAGTATAAGGTCACCATCATTAATTTTCAAATTATAAAAAGGGATTTGCTGTTTTGTGATCATCATTATTGCAATATAATGTGTTGTGGATTCTGCCTGCACATAGAATGAACTGTGATCTTAATTAGAACTTTGACAAGCCTACTCCGATAAAATGATGAGATTATTCGTAATTGATGTCACAATCAATTACCAGTTAGTTCATCATGAATCTACTAACAGGTCTAGCCTTGGTGCTGGCCCCAGGATGTTGATGAGTGTGTGGCTGCCCTGTTCATGCTGTTACTGCGACAGGAGGGCAGATTTTCAGTCAACATCCTAATGACCTCTTTTGAAGTCTATTAAATTAATGACCCTGTCACATTGGGCTAACCTCTTACATCTTCATTTTGGATTTTTTGTTGCAAACCATTGGTTTTCGAGCACATGATAGAACAGATACTTTGGAGCACTCCTTCTCATCCCTCCAAACCTGGCAGTGTGTCTTACTGGATTCGCTAAAAAAATTAGTTCATTTACACAGTGATGAAATGCAGAGCTCAGAAATCAGCAAATCTGGTGGTGTAAGGCAAACTGTGCTTCTTACCATTCTGTTCTGTTCTCTTTTTAACATTTCAATCTCGCTTGACCACAGGTGCCTAAAGGACATGTTTGGTTAGAAGGTGACAATCTCAGGAATTCCACGGATTCCAGGTGCTACGGACCTGTTCCTTACGGACTGATAAGAGGACGCATTTGTCTTAAGGTATCTCTATTTACAGTATCTAAAAGTAGTGCATCAGTACATTTTTAATGGCTGGGTGTTAGGTATGGAAAATTGCCTCCTTAACTGCCTGGCCAAAGCAGATGGAAAGGAAAGCCTGGACACACCAGCCACTTGCTGTGAAAGGATAACTGATCCGTGGTGTTTTTTGGAGGGAGGACCTGTGAGCAGCACTGAGCACTCTCTGCTCTGAAAGCTGAATGAATTATTTCACAGGCAAATCCAGACCTGGTAAAAACACCCACCCTACTGCACAGATGTACCTTCCATCCTTAGACTGATCCTTGCCTCTGCAGAGTGGTGCTGTATAAACCACCATGGTTCCTTCTCCTGTTCCAGAAATTCTGCAGTTTTATGTCACACTAAATTACTTTTTCACATTATCTGCGTTATTAATTTACTCTTCTACCAAAAAGGAGAAGCCAGCACAACCTCCTCTCAATAAAAAGTTTAATCTAAGAAAGAAGGGTGCATGTATTACAGACTTATGCACCTGCTTTTAGAAAGCTGGATTTTAAATTGTTCAATCAGACCAATAGAAAAAGGTTTCCTCTATTATTTCAACACATCCACAAAAAACATAATTTAACACGTGCACAGGGAAGATCAGATCTTTCCAATTTAACAATATTCTTAACTTACAGTATTTATGAACACAGTTTGGGACTTGCTTACTTAACGAAGCCCCCAACCTTGCAGCTATTGACCACAATCAGAAATGGCTCAATAAACCTCAGCCATGTCCCCCTCAGCCCTGCTGCCAAGTTTTGTCTGACCTCTGTTCTTCCTGGCCAGCATTTGCTCCAGCTCTTCCCTGGTGTTTACTGAGGGCTCTCTGTCCCTTCCCTGCCCTGTTTGCCTTCCTGTGTGCACCAGAGGGAAAAGCGCTGATTCCAGACAGGGCTGTTTTTACGACCCCAGGTTTTAGCTGGGATTATTAACTGCTAAGATACAAATGGTGGTAATTACTAACCTGACTGAGAAAAGAGTTCTCCAGACTGGTGTACAGGTATAGAAAAACTGCTCTTTGCTGCTGGAAGGGGACTGTTGGCAAATAGTGTACATACCAGGAACCTGTGGATGGGGGCAGCCAGAATCAGTCTCAGGATCTCTCCACAGCAGAAGATTTGTGTCCAGCTTGTGCCCCAACAAGGAAGGTGTTTGAGAGACTATTGAAGTGACTGTCGGGACTGAACCCTGAGTAAACTCTGTGAAATGAGTGGAACTTACACACAGATAATGTGTGCAGTAATACTGAAGTGCTGCTTTAGGACTCCAGAACACTGTGTGTTAAAAGAGACAGTCAGCAATCACTTGATACTTAATCAGCATAATTATTTAACCAGCTTGTACTGCTGTTGTTCTAGGATGGTGCATAGAGTAGTGATTATCCATGTTTTCATGAGATTTAAGTATATGGTGCTTAACAAGAGCAAAAATGAGTTTAGTCTTCAAGTGAGTGTTTCTAGTTTGGGTTGTTCGTGGTGATTCACATCAGAGTGCAGTGGTCTTGGTACTGTGTGTTGCTGCTGAACATCACAGTGAAAGGCAGCAGGGTTCAGTCTGCGTGGTGGGGGATAAACAGGAGACCACTGGCCAAAAAACCTGTGTGTACTTTCAGTGCAGAGTCTGGAGGTTTGGCTTCTCCTTCATGAAACACTTTTTTACTGCCTTCAGAATGGAAGCTTTTGTGGCTTTATCATCCAGTGGATTTTGGAGAAGCAGATGCCTTTCAGTGCTAAGTTACATTTCTAGGAAAGGACGCAAACAAACCCAAGGCTAATTTGGAAGTAATTTCATGGATTCCAACAGAAGAGAGTGAGCTGAGCCAACCCGAGTTTGTCTGGGCAGCCTGTCCTTGGCAGAACATAAATGTTTTATCTGTGAAGTTTAGACAGAAGATTCTCAGTCACTGTTGGTGCACCAGATTTACCCCACAGGGAAATCACAATATGTGGTCATCTTTGCTCCTTTCCCTCCGTGCCACCGTGTCCACTGCCCCTCCAAGAGCCGAGTCCATTCCGTGAGGGGCTGCTGAAATCAAAGCAGCTGCAAATTCAGTGAAAGCACTGAGAGTCCCACTCTGACAGAGCTCACGCTTCATCCTGTCCTAGGTAGGATATCCTGTGCATTCCCTGGGTTTAGGCTCCATGTCAAAACCAGACCTGTGGTGGATCTTCAAAAGAGCTAGTTAGCCCCATTTATGCCCCGTCCATCAGATCAGATCTATCTATGTAGGCCAAACCAAAGAGGCCAAGTAGCTGCTAATTGGAATAGCCAGTCTGAATGAACAAGTCACAGTCAACTTCTGTCATAACTTTAAAGGACTTGGGAATTACGACACAGTGGCAGGTCTTTGTTTCACAGAGGAAGGGTTTCCATCTCGTTTCCAGCCATGAGTATTTTTTCTCAGGTTCTCCCTGCAGGCAGAGCACACAGAACACCATTTTCCTTCTAACTCTACCACTAAGATTACTGTGATGAAATTGAAGCTAAATTGTCAAAGCAGCATTTAAAGCAAAGTTGATTCCTTTCACTGCAAGAAAGTCAAATTGCAATAGGTGTGATTTGAGTTGCCTGAAAGGAGATTTGTGCTGTAGTGAATGGCCTAACAAACTTCCCTCTCCAGGCCTTTACTCAGATCAGCTTAGATTTGTAATATGGGATATTTCTATTTCCTTTTGCTTCTGTTTGCCTTCGAGGCCAAACAAAGACTCGACACCCAGCCTGCAGCCAGCACAGGCCCTCTGGACAGCCTTGAATTCCAGGGCTTTGCTTCTAACCAGGATCACAAATATCCTTCTGTTGCTGTGTGGACCTTAAAATAGCTCCCTGGCTGATGTGCACAGAGAGGAGGTGTTACCTCTGTGGTTTTGTGTAGCAGCAGATGTTCCTCATGCTCCACCTGCACATGCCAAACCCACAGGTATTCTCTGAGGTATTCTCTGAGGTCCTTGCCACAAGGGAGCTTTGAGCCTTTTCCTGATCCACAGAACTTGAGGTCCTGAGAGTGACTCACATCCTTCTGCCTCCCCCAGGGCCCAGCCCAGCTGAGCACAGGGAGCTTCCAGCAGTGCCCAGTCCCAGGCTGCAGGAATGATGCTGTGTCCTGCCATTCCCGTCCTTAACTCTCTCTCTGCCCCTTCTGTCATGGTCTTCAGTGCTGGGGATGAATCACAGGGTTAGAAATAATTGAACCCTGGCACTGTGCTTCCTCTTTGAAATGAGAAAATTCCTTCTTCACTCCACACAGAAAGCAGGAAAGAGTCCTGTGCTGGGGCTGTTCCATGAACTCAGCTACAGAGCAGGTGGCTGTTCCTGGACAGTGACTGTGTTCCTTCCTGGAGATCAGATGCTGAGGAAAAGTGAGCAAGATGAACATTTCACTGACAGGTGCTGTGGGAACAAGGAACATCATCCTTCTCTGTCTAGGCTGCTTCACCTTGGGCAGGGGCTGTGGAGTTTTTATGGGGTTAGAGCCACAGAGGGCACTCATTCTTCAGCAGCATCTTTCCCTTCTTCCTGCTGATCCCCTCGTGCCATCTTTGAAAGGGGGTGTGAAGAGACACAGGCAAGGGAGGCAAAGGACAAAGTGTAAAAGAACGTCCTTGGTTTCCTATTACTTTTTTTTTTTTTTTCCATCCAAGACCATCCTGCCTGCAATTAGTGAACATCCAGAGCCAAGCACTCCTGGGAGCCCTCAGTGTTATGAACAGCTCTACAGTTATTTTGGAGAGAAGCTGCTTGGTTGTTGGTCAGCAGCATTCTCTGACACTTGTGCTTGGTCATGAGTTGTGCTCTTCTGTAAATAACTGTCCCCCTTCTCAGAGGAGCCCCTTGGTCAAGAGCCCTGCTGGTGGCAGGGACTCCACCCCTTTTATACCTCTTTGCATGGTATAAACTTGCCTATAGATTTTTTTTTTCCCCCCAAGGTTTGGTGTTTGCGTGGCAGTGTGTTCTTTTCTCGCCCTGATGGGTCAAAAAATACATCCCTTGTTGTTTAAGTCATGAAGAAGTTTACAAGCCAGAAAACGTGGCATTTGAAAGATATTTTTTTAGGAACATCCTTATTATTTCCAAGTTTCATTGCTGAAAACAGCAGTGAAATTGGTGAGGCTTTCCACAGCAAAGCATGCCCTGTATAAATGAGTGTTGTTTCTGGCCACTGTGGATTGTGATTCCTTGTGATACACAGGATTTATTACTCCCCATAAGAGAAGCACACAGGTGAGGAAAGTTCTTTACCCTGTCAGCCAAAGAGGTAAAAAAATACGCTGTTAATGAAACAGTAACAACAATAACAAATGAAAACTCTGAACTTTTGAGTTGTGATTAAAATCTCCTGTATTTTATTTTACAGCTTTGGCCTCTGAATGACTTTGGATTTCTCCGTGCAAGCCCCAACGGCCACAGATTTCTTGATGATTAAAAGATTTAAGTTACTCTTGCTGGTTTTCATAATATTTTCTACTAAAATGAATGGAACTATTTTTGTTTAGAATAAACACAAATATTACTTGACAAAAATGTATCTTCCTGAGATTACATCTGACTTGAAAGTGGGAATGATACACCGCTGTCATCACCAACAACGACAGGCTTCTTTCTCTGCTTCCCCTGGTGAGCCACAGTGAGTGCTTGGGTTTATTAGACAGTTTTGGGGTTTTACCACAAGCCAAGGTTAGCACTGACTGTTACCAAGCCTGTTCATGTGTGAGCCTCTGCCCCTCCTTCCTGGGCTCGAGTCCTTGGGGGGATTCAGTGAAGTTAAATATTTTACCTTATAAATAGAAAATGTTCCTGTTTCCCATTACTGCACCTTGCTCTTCATTATCTTCCAAGTGTTCTCACATTTATGCCTCCTGAGTGACTTTTGTCATCTGAGCTGTGGAAAGGATTTAACCTCAGAGGAAGGGCCCAAGGGACAGCTGATAGAGGCTGAAAGGGGAAGATCTGCTCTGTTGTTTGCTGGAAAAGAAACGTTGTTTAGATCACGGGATACATTCCAGTGGTCCAGGTTTGGAGGTGTTTGGTAAGGAGCTCTTTGGCTGCAGAAGGAAAAACACCAATGCAGATCTATCTGTGTCAGCAAAGAGGCACCTGTCATTTTTAAGCCTGAACATACTTGTTCTTGTAGTGCCCCCCCTTTTCTTAACATGGATTTCTTCAGCCACTTGTCTGTCCAGTCTCTTGCAAAGTTTGTAACAGTTCATGAGCTTCCTTTAAACGGTCACTGAAGGATCTCGATAACAAGCGAGCACGTGTCACAGCAAACCACAGACACATCTTTGGTTTCACTCTTGGAGACACTGTAACTCCCACCACATCGACAGGACAGCGTGTAGAGCTGTTCATCTGCCAAAAGAAACAAAAAGAGCCTTCAGTGCTTGAGAAGAATCAAGGACTTATTTTGGATTTTCATCACAAAGCTGCTCTTAGTTACAAATAACCTCCCGCTGCTGGGTTGTAAATATGGCACCTGCCATCTGTAGCTCGAAAAATTACTGTACACCAAACAACCAGGGGCAGTGGAGTCTCTTTAAAAAACCCCTCAGTGGTAACAAGGTGCACATCAGAGAGACAGACAGATGTTAAAAGAAAAAACTGAGGGGTGTCATACATATGACAGATCAAGGATGCTTCCAAAACAGACAAATAATCAGCTCTTCATTCAGGTAAATGAGAAAAAACAGAGCAATAAGAAGGATGGAAATAACACATTCGGATAAAAAAGAACCTGTATGGAACCATCTGCATTCTGCCATCGCAGAAAGAGCAAGAAGATGCTCAAGAGGCCTGGGAGGAATCTAATGACTTAATTATGCTACAAGAGGAGATGTAGGTGAAAAGTGGTCCTGCAGGTGAGGGTGGGGGCAAGAGATGGAGCAGGAATGTAAAACAAGTGTCACAGGAAGTTAAGTTCCAATTCAGGTCATCTCAGAGAGCAAGACAGCTTCATCTGAGGAAATACAGAAAAAGCAGAACTTACAGTAAAGGCAACAATGGTGTAAGATACAGAAAAAATAGAGCACATTTGCAGTGACAGTGAAAGGGAAGCAGAGTAAGGCACATTCATACCTTCATTCCAGGACATGTCCTCAAGGTAAACTTGTTCATGAAGTGGCCATTCTTTTGTCAGGTTATCTGCTATAAAGCAAACATGACAGTGGTCAACATAGAGGCCCTTATTTCTTTCTCATAAATCAATAGTTTTATATCCCTGGGAGTCAATCTGGTCACTACTAGAGAGTCACACCCAGACTGAAACTGGTACTTTTGCACATCCCAAGTGTGTGGAATTAGGAGCAAACTTGTGTTGGGGTGGCAGTGCCCTTCAAAAGCCTGGCTGTACCTGCAGCTCCAGGAGCTGCAGTGGTGCATGGCTGCTCACCTGCAGTTTTTACTCATTCAGGGAATGGCTGAGGTCAGAAGGGACCTCTCAGGATCACCCACTCCAAACCCTCCTGCACAGGCAGGGGCAGTTGGAACTGGGATGGACCACGTCCAGTCAGATTTTAAACATCTCCACAGGTGGAGACCCCACAACCTCCTTGGGCAGCTCATTCTTCTTTAGGAAGGAGAAGCCAAATAAAAACCTCCAATAAGCGCCAAGCGAAGGTTGTGTATGAGAACATCACTGAGATTCCTGCAAAAAGATGCTCCTTACAAAAGATAAATGAAAAACACTTGTAGGGGAAGACTAATGCAAGTGTTCTTCTCTGATAAAAGAGTCTCTCAGCACAGAGAGGAGGTCAGTTCTGGGCTGCACCCGTGAGATCTGCAGCCACTCGATCCCCCAGATTGTTCCAGCACTGAAGTGGGAAGTGTACAATGCAGCTGACAGCACGAAATGCAAAGTGTGCAACACAAATTGGGGGTTTTTTCCATTTATCAGCACACTCATATGTCGTGTACAGAGTTCACAGCAAGTTCTTCAGCTTGATAATGTGAGATCCTGTCAACAGAGTTACAAGTGAAGCCATAAAAGATAATACTTAAAAAGCGAAAGACATCACCAAAAACCAACTGACTGTTCTGTTTTCAACTGAAATGTACATTAGATATCCCTGAGAATGAGCCTCATCTAAATTAGTTTTGATGAAGGTGATTAAAACAAGTGAGGCACGTTGGAAATAATGGCAGAATCAGCACAGCCTCTTTGATTTACCTCTGCTGAACACCTGTAAGGAAAAGGCCACAGTGAAAAGAAAGAAAATCAACCCGCTCAGACCCAATACTTTACTGCTGTCAAAAGAAAGGGGAAAGAGCTACCACCTTTGGCTAGGGTAGGAAACCTACCAGGGTTTCCTCTTTGGAATTCATGCAGGATTTCACTCAGAACAGCTGTTATGGGGAGTGTTTGGACAATGCTCTCAGGCACAGGGTGTGACTCCAGGGAGTGTCCTGTGCAGGGCCAGGAGTTGGACTCGATGATTCTGATGGGTCCCTTCCAACTCAGCATATTCTGTGATTCTATGAAGTCTGAAAATCTTACTGGTTATCTCAAAAGATGTAAGTTTTCAGTTTGTACTCTTGGCTTCACACACAATCCTGGAAATGCTCTTGTCAGGCAGTTTTGCACAGTGCATTTATTTGCCTGTCTGGTTCAAGCAGAGAAACATATTTTCCAGAGTTGGAGGAAGCTGTTTTTATTTTCTAGTTCTAGTGAATACATTACCCAATCTGATACACCTTAAGACAACAAAACCAGATGTGGCCACTTATTTAAAAGCAGAGGCACAGCCAGGTAGGAGTCTGGGGAGCTCACAAGCACAACATCCAACCTAATGGCTCTCACAGTGGCTCCTGCTTCTTGTGCCCTTCCTTGTTTCACCTACACCACTGTTACTGCAAGCACAGCTCCCTCCTCAGGGGTTCTCTGAAGTGAACTGGTGTTCCCTTTTCACTCCTTTGCCAGGGCAGGTTATTTGAGACCGGCCTTGTCACCACTACCGAGTCATGGTTTGACTTGCAGGTGCCATCAGCTCACGCTGCAGAACTCTGTGCACAGAGCTCTGAAACGCATCCCTGGACACCCAGGGGGAAACGTGGGGAGACCTGCCCATCCACCACGACTCCCGAAGCAGCCTCAATTCCCCAGCAGCACAGCCTGCCCAGCTTTGCCATCTCTTGGATTTGTCTGACAACAAGAGGCCCAAAGGATTCTGCAGCTCCATTGTCTCAGCTGCAGGATCTCAGAAAACACCGGCAGGCTCATCAGAGAGGTTTATGAGCCCGCAATTCAAAGAGATTAAAAGGGAAAATCTACTGAGATTCTTTCAGGCCACAGAACAACATTAAATAACTATTAGCAGCTTGGTTCAGTAAAGCTTTACCAGAGCCCTTGCTGGGTCATTCAGAAATTGTAAAAGAGGAAAGGTATTTAAGTTTCACTTGAGGATACAATAAATATTTCTTGGGCTGTTTGAGGCTGAGTTTTAGGGAAAGGGTTGCAAGCAGTAAATGGAAATTTAAGCCCTTTAACAGTTTATGGTAATAGTAAAAATAGTCATAATACTTGAAAGATTTTTCTAGCTCTTTATTCTCAGGTTTGTTTTTTTTTTCCAAACCAAACAAATAATTGAAGAAGTCCAAGATTTGTAGTTAGTCAAATATCATTCATAGCGTTTGCTCAGCATCAAAATCACCACAGTACTCGGAACCTGTATGTTTTCAGAAGTAAATTCTTTCTAAAGGCTTTTCAGTTGCTTAACAATTATTTAAGTTTGAGTCTTTTGACTTAATTTAAAATAATTACGTATTAATTAATTTGAAATGAAAACAAAGTCACGTGTTAAGAATTTTCATAACAAAAATACAGAAATACCAAAAAAATACTGCTTTGCTTGTAGCAGATGAGATTTAACTCCAGAGAGTTAAAAGGCCTGTGCTCCAGCTGAGGGTCTACAGGGTCTTTAAGGTCCTTTCCAGGCCACTCTATGATTTATGGCCATCTGTGTCCATCATCATGTGAAAACATATTATCCTTCACAGAACCTCACTGGAGCCACACATGGAAACAAACCCTAGATTCTGAAATTTTTCCACACAAAATCAGACACAGAGCAACTGGTTTTAGTGTCAATCCCATTACTAGCTTAGAATGATTTGCTACATTTATCATCAGAAATTGTTCTAAGTCACCAATTTCACAAAATTTAATTTTGTGACCTTTCTGCTAATCATTCAGTCATTAATAATTAAAACATAAAAATCAATCATTAATAATTAAAACACAAAATTAACTCCTATTATTATCTTAACAACGTGATTGTTTAGATGCAGTTCCTTTGTACAGAAGCCAACAAAAATCCCCCAAAAGTTGCGGGGCTGCTCCTCAAAGGGACCTCGATAGGATATAGGGGAGGAGCTGTGTCCCAAAAGCATGAACTTCCAGGGTTCAGGTGACTTCTAATATGAAAATGTAAAACAGGTTTTTTCCACTCACTGCAAACCTTTTGGTAATTCTTAATGTCAAGCTTGATTTTAACTGCATATTCACCTTTTTTAAATGGGATACCAAACAAAGAATGGAAAAATCCGAGAAGAGAATCTGTTGACAAAGAAGTCCATTCTTAACAGGTAAAATTGTTATGCAGCTTTTCTTCCATCCTGCAGATTTTTTCACTGGGACTGCAAGCAAAAGATTCCCCACTATAATTCTTAGATGACAAAACAATGGATTGGGAAAGTTTTCACCCATACAAAGAGGCAGTTCTCCCAAGATTTCCAGATCAGAAACGCCTGGATAAATATTTGAGCCAAACCTCTACACAGTTTGTGGTTTGTCCCTTCCCGTTTAATACTGTGGCCTGAAGGCACAAAAAAATAAGAGATTATTGGGAAACCTTCAGAGCAAAGCAGTATTAAGATATAAAAGCACATTCACTTGTTACTCTCAACAATTCAAACGAGAAGAAGATTAAAACCCACAGAATTCCAGCTTCTTGGAACTTCTGTGGCTACTGAATTTTCTGAGCCAAGTCATTAAGATTTAGTTACTCTAGCACAAGAAGGTCCACACAAATAAACAATCTGTGAAATGGGGAAAAGACTCTGGTGCAAAGAGCTGATGGGCAGCCACACACACACACACACTGCCATCCTTCAGCTCCTGCTTCTGAGGCTTCCTTTGCATCTTCCCAACCTGCTGCATTCTCTCTCTCATCGCTATTCCCCTTAGCTGCCGTCTCCATCCCTTTGTTTCCCCGAGCTTTTATGGCAGTGTCTACGAATTTGTCTAGAATCGTGACTTCAGAGGCAGCTTGACAGGCATTCAGAGAGCTAGAAATTTATTTCCCCATCATTCTGCTGCCAGGGAACATGCTGGGAAGAATGCAGGGATGCTGCACATGTATGTTATGTGTGGCTCAGTCTGGAACACTGGGTCTTTCTGTCTTAAAACACATCTAGCCCATTGACATCCCATTACCAAGCACTGGCAAAAACAAAGGTACGATTTGTTCTCTTTTTTTTATTAACTAAGTCTCTTGCAAAGAATCTTGAGATGGTTTTTGAAGAGCTCATCTGGATGCAAAAGGATCTCAGAAAATACAGATAATCTTCAGGTTGCTCTAGAGTAAGTTTTGTCAAAACTAATTTATGGCAATGCCCTTAAATTCCAAGGGAAAACAAACTAATTGATTAAAATCTTGATGTAGCTCTACTTCAGTGGATTAAGCTGAGCCAAGCAAAATGGAACTTCATAGCCTGGATTTAAGCATTAGGTAAAACTCACTAGATACGGAAAAGACTCCTAACTAATCTCTAATTTCTTTTTTTCCCATGCATGTACAAGTTGTGAAAATTGTACAAAGCCAATATCACAATGCTAAGAGTACAACAGGATGAGAGCACCGGGCAGCAGAAATTCCTGTCCTGGCATCACATGCGGGCATTTAAAAAAAAATAACTGAGATGAAAAAATTATCCAAGTCTGATCTTAATACCGTTTACACAACAAATTAGCACAAGATCCAATTTTTTCCCATTCTTCTAAAATATTTATTCGACAGCTCCATCTTCACCCCTCCCCCCCCTCTTTTCCCAAACCCACCCAAAGTCTGGAGTGGGAGATGATTTAACTGGGGAGTCGCTACTGTGGATATACAATTCCCTGCCCCTCTCTTTCTCCCGCAGTGATGCATATCTGCCACAGTGACTACGGCTTTGTGTCTCCAAGCCCTGGGCTCGGCAGCGGCAGGGGAGTTCAAAATCAGCACAAGAGAGGAAGGTCTGATGGTGTGCCAACGTACAATGGCAGGGAATTCAATAACAAGCTGCAGAGACAGTTGGGCTTTTATCAGACACGTTCAGAAGTGGTGGTGGCTCCACGTCAATGCCGGACCGGAGCGTGTTGCTGCCGAGCGCGACCGAGTGTTTTCCCCACAGGCAAGACACTCTTATTGACTCCCCCCATTAACATGGAGGGTGGATATACATTTATTGAAGGTTCTAATGGAAGGCTGAGGGACTCCTATCCCGAGGCCAGAGCAGAAAGACAGCCTATCACTTCATGTAATGGTAGCCCATGTGTGACAGACCTGACCTACATTTCCCCCCTTTCTTTCTCACAACAGCCTGTCACTGTTTTAAGAAGCTATTTTCTGAGAGGTATAAAAAGAAATGCATGCTAGAGCTGCCTGGTTAATGTGTTATATTGGAATATTATTTACAAACCTGCTTTAAAAGGGCTACTTTGGACTACAAATGAATTCTGAAAGCTACTGTAACACACACATGACCAAAAAGAATGAGTCCTAATGATCCTGAAGTGGTTATCAACCCCTGCACAGTGAACACTGGGTACAAATGGATTAACACATACCCAAGATACTGCAACAAGATGCAGTGCAAGGCTTAAAAGTAAGAACAATTAACAAAGCTACCTTAATAAAATAAAAAGGGCTAAGGTTCTGCAATTGGTATAAATTTCATAATAATTCAAGCTATTAGGAAGAATGCCCCCTAACGTTTTGTTGGAAGCCGTTCAGGGGTTTCAGTAGCCGATGTATGTGGAGCAAGAGCTATAAATAATGGATCCAGGCCTGAAAGTAGGACAGGAGCGAAAGAAACATTTGCTTCAGCACCAAAACAGCATTTTAAAATACCATCTCAACTACCACTCCCAGACCCTGCTTATTTAAAGAGCTGCTGCCAGCGCAGCCACTCCTTGGCAGGAACCTACCACGCCGCTGCAGGTCATACTCTTTTTTTGTCTCCTCGTTCCCCAGAATTTTCCACGCCTGATCGACTTCGATGAACCGCTGCACGCGCTGCTCCGCTTCTCCTGCCGGCACATCTGCCTCCTGCTTGTCTGGGTGATACTGCCAATCAAAGGGGAAAGGAGGGGGAGGGAGGGGAGGAAAAAAAAAAAAAAAAAGATGAAAAAGTTGAGGGGAGTGGAAGCGAGGAGGGGTGGGAGAGCAGCGATCAATAATGCATTTGATATTCAGTTAAAAGGACAGAGGAAAGGAGAAGGTCTGGGCTGAGGTGCCGAAGGAAGGGGGACGGCGGCGCCGGGCACGAGAGGAAGCTGCCAGTTCAATCAGCCCACCGGAATGGCAGCTGAACCACCGGTGGCACAAATGTCACCACGAGCACTGGCGGCATTTTCTGGATAATTTGCTGATGGAATCGCTGGCCTTATGGGCAATTTACCTGCAGAGAGTGACTACCACAAACAGAAACAGGTACCTGCAGAGGACCACGACACGGGAGCAAGAGGAGGTGCTGGGAGCTCTGGTTTGAACAAACCCACAGAGCTGGTTTAAACAAACCCACCAGTGTTTAGTTAAGGCTATTACAGATACCCTGAATGCTGGATTACATGTGCCTAGCTTTTTTTGTGTGTGTGATTTAAATGGTAAATAAAATATACATGATCAAATATAATTTATATTACATGTAATTTTACTTTTGAAAACGCGCTTCAACATCTTTAATTTCTTCCGGTTCAGTGAATCAATAGCCCTTCCAAATATTTAAAGTCATGGATCACTGCTTACAGAATTGTGTCATTTTAGTTAAGAAATGGTTATTCAAGGACATGGCTGCAAGAAATCCCGCGTTAAACAGGCAATAATAATTAAAATGGTAACACATTTTCTTTACCATTTGTTCTGAGCAGGACACTCTGACTTGTGGTTCAAATGTCTACTGAAGAGGAACCCTCAAAAGCTCCATCTTCCAGTAGCTTTATTTCAATGCCAGTAATCTTTTTTTCCTTGATATTTTAAATTGCTCAGTATAAGTGATGGACCAACAGGAAAACAGCATTTAAAATGAGACAGCTGCAATATAATCACGCCTATCAGCTGATAACTGTGTTATAAACCAAGATATATCCCTTATTCTGGAGCTGCCCTTTATACCACAACCAGCTGGGGCACTGAAACTTGGAACACCTGTTCTACAAGTGTAGATTTAAGCAGATTTCTGATTAAATGTCTTTCTTTCTTTTAGTTCATAATGAATTTTGGAAAGGAAAGAAGAGAGCACCAATATCCTGTGTGCTAGAGAAAATCCAAAATGTAAAAGGACCACCTCTCTGCATTGGAGACTGAGCCTCAGACTTGCTGAACAGTTGTGATCCATAAAGGTTCATCCCTTAGGGGACCCCTTTTCAATCTCCCCAGCTGAAGATGACCAAAGTCTAAGGTGCAAACAAACAAAAAAACTTTTGGTCATTGCATTCAGTCATTGTATCCTAAAGAGATGATTGTCAGGTATTTGGGCTGGCCACAAAGACCACAACTCAGATCAGTTTCTTCCAAGTACATGGAAACATTACTGACCAATTGCCCACAGCAGAACTGGGAATGCTGGCTCCTCTCCTGCCAAGGATGTTGAGCAAACACTCCCACAAAATTGCTCACACTTCTCCTTTGTTGTACCAAAACCTTACCTGGTTGGTTTCAGCTTTTAACTCCTTTCCTACAGATTTGGCAAATTTAAAATCTGTAGCATTAGCAAGTTTATATTAGAAAGATACAATTTCATGTAACTAGTATCAACTGCATTGTAGGGGACCTACTAATTAAAGCACATTTCTATGTCTATCTATTTGTCTCCATTTTGGTCTCCAAGCTTTCTGGATTTATTTGCTCTTTCCTCTGTTGGACTTTTTCCTCTATTACCATCTAATGCCTTTAGCAGACTACATCTACACTAAGAAAAAAATCCTTAAGCCTCAGCTATTTTACTCTAATCCTCCTCTTTTTTTTTTTTTTTTTGTTTAATCCCAGTGATCCCATTTCATCTGAATTTGTTCTGTACCTGCTCTTACTGCCTCTCTTTTCCTACTCTCCAGCTCGCTGATCAAGGATGATTGTTTCTAGCAAAAATCCAGTCTTGGTTCAACTTCCCCTGCCCTTCTTTCCTCTCCAAGACAACCAGCGAGGTGTCCCCTCTCCAGCTGTTTCAGACCCCAGCTCAGACACACAGAACTCCTTCCCAGAGTGGCTGAAGTTCAGGGGGGCAGTCCAATGTCCTCTGTTACCCCTTCAGATGTGAACAGGCCACACTCTTTTTTTTTTATCTCTTCCCTCCCTCTTGGCCACCACGTTCTTGCTTCTGGTCCTGCTCCATCTGCCCCCCCAGCAGCTGCCTCAGCAGAGCCAGGGGTTTGCTCTGGTGTTGAGAGAGGTGAGATATGATGGATATTCCCTGTCTCCTCCCCTTTTCCCATTCGGCCTGATATTTCTGGGCTAATCTCAGCTGCCACCACGCACAAGCTCCGTAATGCAAGCAGACAGGCCTGTTTTCTACTCGACCTGCCTCCTTCTATTCACCCTGAGCTCCTGCTCATCTCTCCCTCCACGCAGCCAGTTGTAAGTTTTTCACTCAAAATGTTAGAGCCCCTCCGTGTCTCCTGCGATCTCCCTTCTCAAAAGCCCTGCAAGTTATCTTCGTATCACTCGTACCCACCGCCACCTCCTCAGTAACTGGATGCATTTCAAACCTTTCCAGCTGCACATGGGTAACAGTTTTAAGCAGCAATCCCTCCGTGAAAAGAGCTTCTGGTTGAGCACTCATCCCAGTCACCCTGCTCAAAAATAATTTTTACTAACACATTATTTATTAGGACTTTATGAAAACAACAAAGGATCTCTTCCCAAGTCCAACAGAGGGGAGGGAGAAGGAAGAAGGTTGGAGATATATGCCCAAGCTGTTTTTCCTTTATTATACCTGTACTAGAAGTAATTTGCTGACTGTCCTCCATTACTAAAGACTGTCTGGAATTTATATCACTTCAGGTCATATATCACTTCATATAATATGATGCTTTGCAGTTCCTGTGAATGTTAAAAAATAGACTGATTGATAATGGAAATATATTCATTTATCTGTTAACTATAAAAATTACCTTACACACACAATACTACTGCTCCCTCCCCTGATGTCTATGTCTTAAATGTCACATTGTCACAGTATTTCTTGAGGACTCTGGTTCTTGGTCCAAGAGTTATTCAACACCAGATTCTTGGGGTTTTCAATTGCTTTAGCTGTTGAAATCACCACAAAAATTTGAAAACCTTCAAGTCCAAAATCTGAAAACCTTGAAGGTCAAAGCTCAAAGGAAAAACACACTTTAAACAGTATCTGTTGGAGGCTTGGTGAAATGGGCAACGTTTTCTTTGGGAAACAGGAGAGGTAGGCTACCACAAACTCAATTACAGTACCATTATTGGAGCTTTATCAAACAACTGCATTCAACTGTCTTGATTTTTAATGTACAGAGCACTGTCCTTCTCAGCAGGTTGGATACAGTGAGAAACAAGGTATCACCTGGCAAACATACTCTAAAAAAACCAGATACTGTTTCAGTTCATAGTTCTACAAGTATTGGAAAAGTTAGACATTTTTCAAGGAAAACTTTTTAGGTAAATTAATTCTATTTCATTATGCTCATCTACTGCCTTGGATACCTGCAACTGAGTAAAGAACCAGCAAGTGAACAAACCTTCTCTGTCTCAGAAAAAGGCGTTAATGTTGTTACATTCAAACAATGAAAAGTGCAGACTCTATAAAAATGCCTTGACTTCCAGAACATCTATTTTATTTATGATATTGTTACTTGTACACTGTCCACGCTCGATTCCAAAGGTATGGGAAGGTGAATACTGAACACAAGAGGCCCTAAGAACTCTCACACCGCAGGATGAGGGACTGGATGAGCCCTGGCCGAGCAGCTCCAGCCCCGCGGTGACGCGCGAAGGTCCCCGTCCCCCTTCCCGAAACTTCGTGCCATAAATCTAACAGGGCTGACTGATTTTAATCAAGTTCAAATTAGCAAGCAGAAACGCTCTAGTTAAATCAATTCAATGCACATTTCTTACTGGTGCTCGTGAACGTATTTTTCTCAGAGGACGTTTACGGCGCCCAGTGAGAATCAACTTAATACGGCTTATTGGGAGGGGAGGGGGAGGCACAGAGGCAGAAGGTTTACACTAAATCTGTAATCTCTTGCTAAACTGTGGCACACATGATAGCTAAACCACTTCATGTAACTGCTTTTACTCGTAACATGCCAAACTGAAAGGGCTGATTATTTAGAAGAGGCTGAAAAAGCACTGTCCCTTCTCGAGCAGGGCGTTACCGTGGCTGTTTCGCCTTGCGTGTACAAAGGATATTTCACTTTAAAGGCCAAGGATGCGCCACATCTCTGATTCCACATGTCAAACCAAGAGGTTTTATTTTCTAGGAAAACTACTATTGCTTCCAAATTTTATTTGACTTATGGAAAAGTTAAGTAACAACATTTCCATCTACTGCTGTGTATTGCACAGATAACTGTAAAACACTTCCTGCTGAAATTACATGCCATGTAAACTTTCTACTTTTTCTGACTGAGGAAACTGAAGGGAGATCAGCTCTATTTTTTTTTCCCGGAATGAACTAAGGAGTTCTCTCCACTTGCTACGGCTTTGTCTTTCCTACTTTCCAATATTTTATGCAAAGCTGTCAAGTGTTTGCAGAAATCTTCAGCAGAAAACAAAAAGTAATATAAAAAAGGATGAACCAGATGTGGCTGCATTAAATCCTTGATCTTCTCTCCTGAGACAATTGTTTTGGAGAAGTACTTTCAGATTTCTAAATTTTCGTTATGGACCTTTTGGATTCTGTCCCTCCACACCCCCATTATTAAGGTTCTAAAACGTGAAAGTAAAGAGGGGCACAGAAGAATGAGGAAACCATCAGAGCTCAAACATTCAAAAGTTAGACTATTCTGGACTAACTATCATGAGTCATAAAGTAACCATCAAGCAGTCAGCATTACCAACAGTTACAGCACAGTAAATTTCTAAACTATCTGATTTAATAG